GGACGATGAAAAGAATCAACTGAGATTGATTTCGACAAAGCCATGGATTCCTATTAATCAATATGAACAAGATGGAATCACAATTGAAAAATGAAAGTGTCCTACTCATTACCAGTTCTGAATTGAAATCAGACATGAGATTACCTATTGCTAAATCTAATAGAATCTCATCAGAAAGTTTAAAGAAGTATCTTAATCAAAAGAGACGGAATATGTAAGGCAGGAATTTTGACCTCCTTAACCTTTCCCATGGATTCTAGATTCAACCTAGATAATCTCCTCTCTTCACTTCTATTTAATCCCTTTTTCTTAATTACTTTTCTTTTGTCTTAAAGTTTTGCATTTACTTTCATTTTTACCCTCAAGTTAAACTTGGATTATGACTAAGCTTTAATTAACCTTTCGAATCACCATTGATACTCATCATGGGAACAAAAGCTAATTTCCAAGTACCAACCCCTTTTTGCTTTACAAAGCCTAAGAGCTTTTATCATCATTTCCTTTTCCTTTCTTGCTGCTATAAAAGCAATTGACCCTCTCCAATTCATTAGGAGTCTTATTGAAGTCTTAGGAGTTCAAAGAAGTTTACTGATGAAGTGTCCCCAGTAACTAATTGAGAAAGTAATTTTCAAATTTTGTGTTTTGATAAAATAAAGATAAACATTGTGTTTATTGAAGTCTCTCTCTCTCTCCTCCACCTTATTCAAAAGCGTGTTTTCAATCAATAAGATTGTAAGTGAATTACTAGATCTCCGATCCAAAAGAATCTGATCTATGATCTTATAAAATTTTTGAGGATAAGATCGAATCTCTGAGTTAATCTCAGGTGAACCTTTCCGCTCTAATTTATTTAGAACTACAACCCCTCATTATTAATGATTGATGTTTAAATAGCTTTGCTTATGGTTAAATTGTTACACCTTAAACAGTGAGTGATCATTATTACAATGTATTAATAATTACATATTATTAATATTTACTGTATTGTTTAATCAATTGATTATATAATTAAGTTTATTAACTGGGAGTTTGAAATGATATTGATGTAATATAAGATTGATTTAGATTTGATTGACTGATTGATCATGTTCATCATTTCTTGATTGATTGATTACTTTCATCAACTTTTGAAAATTGATAAGAAAAGTTTCATCTGATAATCAACCATTAATATACTAATGAGAGGATAACATTTATAAATTAATGGAAAAGGAAAGTGATCTGATTAGTTAAAGTAGATTAACAATCAAGCTTATTGATTAAAATGATACAATTCATGATAATAATAAGATGATTCAAAATTGATTCTGAAATTGATTTGGACTGGAGTTCATCAGGTAATTCAGGATAACAGGTCAATCTTATTTCTCATGGTGAACATGGTAAATACACTGAATTGATGATGATGATGATGATGAGGATGAGGATGAGGATGAGGATGAGGATGAGGATGAGGATGAGGACGAGGATGAAGATGAGGATGAAGATGAGGATGAAAAGATTATAAGAAAGAAACGGAAGAAAAATGAAAGATGAAAAGATGAAGATAATGATGAGGGAAAAGTGAGTTTTTTCAATAGAATGAAAAAAATCTTATTCTCGTTTACTTATCATCCTCATCTTCATCTTCTCAGATTCAGTTTTTATGTGTGAATTGAAATAACCTTTTACACATGATGATGATCAGGGGAATGAAAAAAGACCATGATTGCAATCATGGTGAAGAAAATGCAACAATAATATTAAGGTTTTACCTTGGAAATGTTCAATTGATTGAGTTGATTTTTGTTCATCCATTTCGATTTACCTTGATTGTTTAATCATGTTTCAAGATTGAATTGTGGATAATGATCATCATTATATTCTGTTGACAATAATAACATGGTAACAATTGATTTTAATTGTTAACAAAGGGAGAAAAAAAAAGTTGGTTCTAATCCGATTAAGTTTCACAATTCACTTGATAAGTCTGTAGTCAATTACTTGGATTAACAATCAATTCTAACACAATTTCCATTCTTGATTATATCACAATTTTGTTGATTGTGTTTTAAGCAAATTAAATTTTCCAACAATAATCAGTGTTAATTGATTGAGATTTTCTTATGATACAATTTTCATAATAATTAGGAAAACTTTTCCCTTGTAAAATTGTAAATTTCAAATAAACAGTCATTAAATTGTAACAACTATTGTCATGATGATGATGATGAGACAGAAATACATTGTCGTAAATGTATCATAAGAAACAAACAAATTGATGGTGATGAGAAAACTGCCCCAGGCTAAATTACCTTTTCTTTCATGGAAAAAAAAAGAAAACAAAAATATCGAATAACTTTTTTTTCCTTGTTTCGAAAACAAAAAAGTTCTAGTCTTATGTTTTTCTCTATTTGATTAATCTAATGTAGTTAGTCTCATATCTTCATCCATGATTAATTAATCAACAGTGATTAACTTAAACAGAGAGTTGATTAGATTGAGAGACTTTTTTTCAGGTTGATTATTTAATTATTATCATGATAATGGTTGATAAAAGTGATTAACTAGTGATGGCTCTGGAATGTGATGATATTAACCTTAAGCAATGATTAGATTGATTAATGATGAAACTTTTCCATTTTGATTGTTGTGTTTGGTAAATTCATTGATTCAACAATAACAGCAACAATTAAGGTCATAATGTACTCTGTGACAATTAACCTTTTCAATTCATTGATTAAACGTTAATCAACATTTTCACTTTAGGGTTAACCAGGTTGACTATACAGTTAATTTAATTGTAGTTGGAAACAGCAAAATTAACCAAATGATAATAAATTATTGATGATAGTTGATTCAAAAAAGCAAAACAATTTACTTTTTAATTGTAAGGTAAATTTTTGATTACGATTAATAATCAAGGTTTAAATCTCGTTGGTAATTAAATTTTTTCGTTGCATGATTGTAACTGATTAATTTCATCACAGTCTTAAAGGATTAGTTGATTGTCTTCCTAGGGAATACAAAAAAAGTGATTGATTACTAAACGAAACTTAATCTGTTGATAATCTAGTTTGATGAAAATACAGCAATCAATTTAAATCATGATTAACAATCAGCTTTATAAGATAATCACTTCATTGTTGTTGTTAAATTAAAAAAGGAAAACTTTTCTAATAATAAAGCTGTGTAACAATTAATACAATTAGGATGGGACAATTAAAAATATCAAATTCGTAACTTGTAATCTCATCAACAAGTAATTGAAATCAGATTAGATTATCGTCAAAATTAATCGTAACATTTTCCCTTACCACTGATTAACATTGTTAACTTAATTATCAACCAATTAAAGTTTATCATCCCAGAAAAGTTAATATCCAACAATTGAGAATGAGAAAAAAAAACAATGGAAACTTTCATTTTCTTAATTCAATATCATCCATGTAAAGTTAACAATTAAGTTAATTGTCTTTTGAGTAGGTTGCCGATTTTACTAGTAATTAAATTGAATTACCTGATAATTTATATTCTTAATCTTCATCCTATTATCCTTTTGATTTCTATCATTATTCTGATATATTTTCCTATTCTATTCTAATGTAATTTTCGAAATCGATTTTTTTTCTTATTTTTTCTGTTCATCTTCTGTTTCTAATATATCACATTTTCAATTCGGTTAACTTCATCTTCTTCAAGTGTAGTTATTTGTATATTTCTCTCTCTCTCTCTCTCTCTCCCTCTATTCTACTACTACTCAGATTCCCATGTGAATTACTCATCAGAATGGATCGATTTTCAAATAGACTGTGATAAGTAATTTTCCCTCCCATTCACTGAACTTTTACCTGAACATGAATATGAACTCATATGAATACAACTGAACATTTGACTTTGACGATTATCATGGTTACATTTACAATTGATAATTTTTTGCTCTCTCTCTCTCTCTCTCTCTCTCTCTCTCTCTCTCTCTCTCTTTCTTTGATAATAATCAGTTTCAAATGGTTTTTGATTATATTTTTCATGGTGAAATTGAATTACTCAAGTTGATTGTCATTGATTGTAACTTTTTCAATGAGCAATTAACTTTTCATAGTCAAACTCACTCATCATTGAGTAATTCAAAGTGATGATTATCATTGACTTTGATTGTTATTATTGTTATTGTTGTTTTTATTACTTTTCCATCTGAATCATTGATTTAATAAGTGACAATTAACCTTTAGTATTATTAACGATTAATTTTCATTCATTGACATTTGTTTCATTATTTTTAGTAATTTATTTTAAATCTTCTAGTTTCATTGTTTACCTAATTGATTAATTAATTTTAATTGCTCCTTCTTCAATGTAATTCAATCAGTTATTATATAAATGTAATTGGAGATGAATTTTAATTAACATTGTTATTTTTGTTTCACAATCAATTAGATTTTCATTTACATGGTTATCATATTGAATAAGATTCAAATTTAATTGATATATTCTATAATGTTGATACCATTACTATTTACGATTGAATTTCATGATTAATCAATTGTATTATTTTACAGTTTCACATTTTCATTAGATTTAGTTAATTAACGATTATTTCAACATTAATTAATTTCATTTCATTAATTAATTGTAACAAAATCATCACAATTTCATCATCTGAATAATCATCTTAATTGTTGATGATACATGAAGATGGTGGTTGATTTAATCAAAAAAAAACCTTGATTGTTTGACTTAATACTCTGGGAATTGTAACAAAAAAATAAACCTTTATTATCATACGAATCAAATTTTGATGAATAATCAAGAGTAGTAATTAAGTTAATCATGTACATTGTATGTTTATTATTATGTTCATGATCATAAGCTGAATCAACGGAGCCATCTATTGATTATCATTTCTAATAGTAACAATTAAGGTTAATTATCTCTAGTTTGATGATTAGATTGGTTTCTCTTGTAATAATTTATTAATTGTTTTTTTTTTCTCTCTAATTGTTACAATCTATTTCTTTCAGAGAGTTCAGGTGTATCCATGGTGGTACGTGATTGTGCACTGGACAGCGGCAGTTTGACCACCGACACCGAGTTGGTCAGAATGTCCCATTGTGGGGCATTTTATTTTGACGGTGATTATATTTCGGGCTGCGTTCAAAGTTGCTTCGAAGATGCTTGTAACAATTCAAACAAAATTAACTTTTCACTATCAATGTTACTCTCATTTCTTTCATTACCTTTATTAATTGTTAACAATTTACAACTTCTTCCCATTCCCAATACATAAAAACAAGTTATCATTTGATGATTTTCATTTTAAAATCCACCACCACCACAATAATAACAATACAAACACAACTTAAATATTAATGTTGATCAGTTTTTGTCAAATATTATCAAGAAAGAAAAACAAATTTCAAGAATTAAATCAAATTAATGTTACTTGTTATTAATAAAAATCAAATAAAGGAAAACTTTTCATCGATCAAACCTTTGCCAATACTGTCCAGTTGATTACTCTCTTTGTTGTTATTATTGGACAACTTTACTGACCTCAAAGAAAAACTAAATGACCATCAAACCTTTGGATTAAAGTTTCTAAAAGTTGATTAGTTGTGATGGTTTGATGTTTGAGAAATACCTTCAAGCTTTTTCTGTCAATGGTCAGTTGGACATTTGAACATTTATCGAAAAAAAAAAGATTCAGAGTATTATTACCATTATTTTTTTCTTCGACAAGTTGAGAGCTCATCAAACCAACGATGGTTAGAATGACCCAATCAAAGGTCAGTTTCTCCCTTTTGGTATTGTCACAGATTCTCAAGATTCGATTGGAAATGAAAACAAACTTATTTTGATCAGAATTCTCTCTTTAGATCATCTAACCTTAGACTTCTACATGCTCACTAACACAATCTCAAACTTGAAAGAAGAATAATTGGAAAAGTTTCACAATTTAAATTAATCTAAATTTAAATTTTCTCTATTAAAACTCTTTTGCTCGAAAAGCATTTTAATTATTAATAAGATTAACAAAACTAATTTCGATTTATTCAAATTTCGAATTAGTTCTCAGCGAATTCAACAGATGGCGACACTTTTGTTCCATGTTTTGTTTTGTTTTTCGGTGAAAAAAAACGAATGTTTAACATTTCTAACCAAATTGTTTATCTAATTTAATTATTTTACTTTTCTCTTGTCAATGTATTTAATTGTAATTCGTTAATTGTAAAAAGCTACCTTGGTATATTCTTCTTCAGTGTTTTCTCCATTACCTTTCACCGCAAGTTAATTTTGGTTAATCGTTTGATTGTCTTGGTTTACATTTTGTTTTCTATTTTTTTCCTTCTTTTCTTTTCCATGTTTCTTTTCATATCCACATAGACCTTTGAGTATTTTTCTTGTTTAATCTTCTTCCATTTGTCTTTATTTTATCGGTATCTTTTCTATTTTTCTTTCTCTTCTGCTTTGTTTATTTGATTAGCTTTGTCTTTTTTTTCTATTCTCTTCTTTTCCTTCTCTTTTTGTATGTTCAATTCGCCTAGTTGTGTATGTTCATTGTCCACCTTCAAGTGAAACTGCAACAACAACAATAAGAGTCACAATTGTTCCTCTTTTTTTCTCAATATTTATCATCTTTTATTATTTTCTAATATCATGAGCTCCATTTTAGATGCTTATAATTCTCTGAAATCAGAGTTTAATAAAGTGAGCAAAGATTTACAATCAGTTGATGATAATTTGAAAAAATTGACTGGCGGTCAATCAAGGTTTGTATGATTTTGGTTACAACCTTTTTCCACTCTCACTTATTTATCTGCCCAATTGATTTATTTTCATTCTTTTTCTCTCTCTCTCTTTCCCTCTTTTAGTTCAAAAAGAAATTTAAAAAGAACTGCCCTTGAAAGTGATGGAAACTCTTACATCGATAGTAATTCCGAGGAACCAGCGAAGAGAAATAAATTCATCAGCAAAGCCTTCAGCAGGTAACATTTACTGATATGTTTTTCCATAGCAATTCACATATTGTTCATTTATTATCCGAACGCAATTTTATTCTAAATTATTTTCTCGATATTCTTTCACAGAGTCCATGGACCTAACTGGCAACCTAAAGATCCTGCTGGAGACAATGATGATAAAGAAGATCTACACCATCGCCCTGTATTGTTATCTCAAGTTGTTTCAGCTGTAAAAGAAACTAAATCACGAAATGAAGCACTGGAGGAACAGCCACCAGATGAGAAAAGTAAAGCTCGAAATAGACGAATGTTCGGTATAATTCTAGGAACTCTACAAAAATTCCAATCAGAAGAGTCTCAGAGGAAACAAACGGTACATACATTTCATGTATCCACTTATGAAATAGTATTGAAATCTCATCCATTAGCAAAATGATTGATCAGAATCAAGATAAAAATCCAATCAAAATCGCTACTCTTGTGTTGTCATTATTATATTCAGTTAATCTCGAAATGTTGTTGACATTCTATTGATTTGTTTTTCTCGTGTAATCACTGAAACTAAATTGTTTACCTTTTACCCTTATAGACTGCGAGGAGAGCTCAAATCGAAGAGAAATTGGATCGACAGGCTGAAAAAGAAAGGGATGTCATAAGAAAGGAGAAAAAAGAACTTTACAAAAAGAAGAGAGAAAGTCAAGCTCATCTAAGACGAATCGAACTTAAAATGGAACGAGTTCAAGTTGTAAGTATCCAGAATTTTGGAAACATAGAGAAAAGTAATCACTCTTATTCATGGAATTTAAATTAATTGTTATTTTATTTCTCTTTTGTCTCTTTTCCAGCATCAAGATTGGGAAAAATCACACAAAACGTTGATTAATTTCATTCAAACTAAAACTAAGCCTCATTTGTTTTACATGCCTAAAGAACATACTGATGAAAGCGAGAAAAGATGGAAACAAACCAAAGATAAATATCGACGTAAGTATAATTATCATTGCAACGTAATTAATCATCTGATAAACTTAATTGTGTTTCTTTTTCTGTTTATAATTATTCAGTCATACTCGCTGAGAAACGTGCCAAAGTACAAAAGGAATTATCTGAAATCGATGAAATGTACAAGAAAGAAACTGAATTGGATGACGAAATGATGGATGATCGTGATGATGACAACAATAAATCAATGGAAATGGATTCACATGAGAATACAAATTGCGAGGCAATAAGACCAATGGAGGATACGATAGATCAAGTGAAAGTTTGTAATCGTAGGGATGAAGTTACTGATAGGATAGATAATGAGAAAGATGAAACTAACATTGATTTAGAAATTAGTCAAAAAAATAGTAACAAAATTAACAAGTACAATAAGAAAAAAATTAATGATGATGATGAGATTAAAAATAGTAATGAAAATGTTAAACTTACTAAGGATAACGATGATAATAATAGAATTGATAATGAAAGTGAAAAAAGTAATCGAACCAAAAGTGACAGTAGTAATAATAATCATACCAACAATAATAATAACGGTAATAATAATAATGATAAAACTGAGACTAATGTTGACAATAAGACGGATAATCAACAAAATGATGCAGATAAATCATCATCTGAACAACTTGCCGAAAAGGAGTTCGAGCCAATCTATGATGATGATGAATAAATCACCAAGCGAAGAAACAATTTATTTACTTACCATCAAACTCTTTTTTTTTATTACAGGTATTTACTCACTTGATATTCATTAATCACAATTGAATACAATCAATGAAGTATTAATATTAATTGTGAGCGAAAAGTAAAACAAACAAAAAATCGCAAAACCAATAAACAAACAAATGAACAAAAAAATTTCAATATTAACTTGATAGACGATTATTGTCAATGTTAATCAGTTATAGATGGTCACCAGTTAATTGGTCAATCACCGAAAGAATCATTGAACATTTAACTGATTCTCGATTTTCCACAATGATTATAATTATGTTTAAATAATCAATTCTTTAATTGTTATTACAGAAAAATTCCAATTTCCAATATCATCAGGATTCCAAAAAGTTTGTAAACAAAATTAGCTAACGGAAAATCCGAAATTTAAATGTATCGATGTTTACTGGTCACGATCTTAACTTCAAGTAATCTCCGTATCAAGGTGACCTTTCCCGACCCCCGATCGATCCAAATAAATGGACGAACAATTTTTTCGTTCTTATAAACAAAAAGTTCAATTTGATCAAAAGTCGCGCTTTCGCCTGAGAATTGGAGAGACAGATGGAGTTAGTTGATCGTCGTTGAGAAAACTCAACTTGTCAAAAGTTGAGAGTTTTAATTTGATCAACAATTGGGATTTTATTAATTTCGATTTGATTTTTAGTTTTTGCTTTTCAATTATTCTTATGTTGTTTAATTGTTTGCTTTTGAGTTTGTGTTGTTCTGTGATATTTATTGGTGAAAATCTCTAAGTTTAGTTTAGTCGGTTGATCAGTTTCTCTTCATGGCTGAGAAAAGTGTTTGTTTCGTTCATCATGATGGTCGCCATTTGTTACTTTTAACCTTCTTTTTTCAATTGGTTCTTTTTTCTATAAATTTACAATCATGTTATGGATTTGTTACCATGTTTGCTCCGATCAATACTCTTGGTTTATCGGGAAACATTACCTTTAGACAGGAGAATAGTGAATCGATAACTAATGTTGCCATTTATTTGTCGCCCGTTCAACCAAGAGAAACTTCAATCAATTATAAATGGAAAATAATGTCCAATCCTTATTATTTTGGTTCACCTTGTTCAGAGGATAATTTGGGTCGACCAATTCAAGATATGTCCACGAAACATGGACCTATTCAAGTTGTTTCTCCAAATCTTGGTGGAATTCAAAGTTATCCTGATCAGGATTTATCTCTATTTGGTCGTAATAGTATTTGGTTATCTTCAATTATTATTCAACAAGAAGGTGGACCAGTTGGTTGTTCCAATATTTTGTTAGAAGGATCAACTCGAACAGCTCAAGCACAATTTTTAGGACCAACTTTTAGTGGTACTATTACTGTTAGAGAAAATGAGAATAAAGAAACAGTTATTTTAAGCCAATTAACTTACACTGAGAACGATTTTAGAACCAATTCTCAACATGATTGGAAAATATTGGTTGCTGATATTTTGGATACTCGACCAAATACCGATGCTAAATGTCACTATTTAGATACACTACTTGATGGTAATGATGCATCAAGTGATCAATGTTCAACCGTTGATCATGGTAATTGTAAAATTGGTGATTTAACCAAGAAACATGGACAGATTACAATTTATAGTGACAATGGACGTGGTGTTAAACAAAAGTTTATCGATTCCAATTTACCTTTGGAATATTTAGAATCAACCAGGCCAACATATTTTGTTATCTTTGAGAAAAACAATCCCAACATGTCACTGGCCTGTGCTCTTATTTCACCAGTGGCACAGAAACAGGTCAAGGCCAATTTTGACATGGACGGAGTTAAGGGTTACATTGGATTCAGTCAGACTTTCAATACTGATCCAACCATAGTTACTGTTAATCTTCAAAATTTAAAAGGTCGTGGTGACTTTTTAAAGATTCATCAGTTTCCCGTGAGCCCAAGACTTATGGCTGGAGAAAATATTTGCGCTGAAAATGTTACTGGAACAGTTTACAATCCTTTCAAGTATCGGAAAAACACCAAACCAGGTCAAGGGTCAAATGATCAATATCAAGTTGGTGATCTAAGTGGTAAATATGGACCATTGACCAATCAAGATGAAAATGGTAACGTTTTCGGTGTCCATGTTGACCTTAATCTACCCTTGTTTGGCCGTCATTCGATCATCGGTCGATCTTTGGTAATACACAAAACCGATGGAGAAGCTTGGATTTGTGCCACCATTGGTTATCCGGGAGCTGTTACCACGGCGGTAGCAACTTTCCACTCTCCCGTTGTGGGTAGCATTATTTTCCGACAAATGGCTCAAACACCGGGATCTGATACAACAGTTTTCGTTGACCTTTCATATTCAGCTGAATCAATTAATGACACCACTAATCATGCTTGGCACGTACATGTTTCACCTCCCGGTGCTGATTGGCGTAACTGGACAGCTCGATGTTTATCAACCCAAGGTCATTATAATCCAAGTCAAGTGGGTGTAACCACAAGGTACAACAACTGTAATCCCAATAATCCTTATCGGTGTAAACTTGGTGACCTTACCGCTAAGGCGGCAGAAAGAATCTCCATCGCAGGTCACAAAGGTTCAAAGTTGGTTAAACTTTTCTATACTGATCCTGCTCTACATTTATATGGATCCTACTCAATTATTGGTCGGTCAGTTGTGATTTATGATGAAAACGGGCCACAGCAACGGGGAAATCGCTTAGCCTGTGCACCAATCAAACAAGTTCATCCACTTACAGCGGCAACCAGATCATGGCGATGTGCAAACGCCTTATCCCCAGTATCGGGTTACTTACTTTTCCATCAGGTAAATATATGAATATCATACATTTCAATTTTCTTCCTCATTCCAAATATTTTAATTGTCACCAAATCAATTAGATCAAACTTTTAATTGATCGAAATAGTCTCTCATGAAAGTTGAAACAATTTCAAATTTCAATCTACAAGAAGAGAAACTTCAACAATTTAATCATCAACAACTCATTTGATTTACAATAAGCTACATTACTAATTGAACGTTAGAAACAATTTATTAATCATTAATTGAAATAGTTATTTAAATTCCTTATCAGTAGATATTAGTGATTTATTTATTTCTCACCTTAATATATGAATACAGTTAGATTGACAATATCACACTTCCTGATTAACTTTCCTTTATTTGATTTTAATCATTTTCATCACAATAATTATTGTTTACAATCAAATTTTACCTTACAATTAAAAAACGATAATAATAGGGCCAATATGACCTAATAACAATTTACATCAAAGTTGAACAGCAACACTATTTGAATGATTAACTTGTGGTCATCTTAATTGATGGTCACACAGTGATGATGATGATAAAAAAAAGATTCATTCATCATCATTCATTGTTGTATCTTCAATGTATTCAAGTGAAAATGATTACTTTGTATTTATATTTCTTGTCTCTCTAACAACTTGACAAGTTTAAAGTAAATTAAATGACCTAAATTGTTGAATTAAATTAAATTGTTGAAGCTTAATGAAAATCACTTGTACCAGATTAATTAAGTTTCATTTTCTTTTTCATCCTCATCCTCATCTTCATCTTCATCTCCATCATTCACATCCCTTTCAAGTCTCACCCAAATTTATATCATTTCAACTGAATTCAAGTTAATTATTACAATGATGATCAGAGTAAGATGAATATCTTTCAATCATCATTCCTTGAATTGAGTATTGATGAAGACGAGGAAGATAATGAATCGCATCTATTTTATTGAAGATCTTGTCAAATTAATCATCATAATGATTAATAAGTTTCTCTACCATCAAGTTGATACAATTTTTTAATATTAATTGTTATTAAAATATTAATAGTTTTGATTGTGAATCAATTTTCATGGTTTCACTTGATCAACCATTTCGTTCATTTGACAGTTAAATTGTTATTAAAATCAAAATAATATAACGAGTTGATTATTATTAATGCTAATTGTAACCATCCATTTGATTTAGTTGATGATTGAGATCAATTTTTGACAATCATATTAAATGGATTAATCTAATTTTTTCTTATTGATAAAATTTGTGATTTTAATTTACTAATCAAAATTCTGGTCAATCCTTTGATCATCATAATCTGGCCTCAATCGTTACTCTTGATTGTCATTAAGATAGTAAATTGTAAATGATTAGTTTAAGTAACACTTTCATGAGGAAGTTCAACTTTTCACTTTTAACCATTTTTATTGATTAGTTTTGTTGATTCGCTTGATTGTTATTGATTAAATGTCTTATCCACAATGACAAGTACTTTAAGCAGAGTATCGTTGATATTGATTGTCTTATTTTCACCGTTGATTTTTTCTGCTATTCTTGTTTGTTGATTGATTAATTAAAAATGAGACACGAAAAGCCTGAAGCAATTAACTTGTTTCAATCAAGAGACACAATCAACGTAAAAAAAACTAAGTCAAGAGAATCTGTTGTTGTTAAATTTCAACAATTTAATCCCAATTTAATTACAATTAAGATTCATCAAAATGATGGTTACAATTTGTTATTATATCCTTCATAATAGTTAATAAATTGTTAAATTCGTAAAACTTTTAGCAATTTACTAATCATCTGAGTCTCTCGTAAACAATTTTAGCTAATTATGTTTAGATGTTAATTTTACTTATTTAGAGTTTAATTGTGATTAAGAAAATACAATTAACTATCTAAATAAAATAAATTTCTCATCGTTATTTTCACCAAATTAAAGGTCACATCGATCACATTGTTTAATTGTTGATAAGTATTATTACTTAATTTTAATTCTTTAATTGTTCCTTGTGGTTTCTAATATATTACATTGAGTTGATGATTTTTGTACTATTATTATGATGAAACTAATGTTGAGTTGAAGGTTTTTCATGCTAATTGTTATTCAACATGATTAAGTTTACATGAGAATGTAAATAATTTAATATATTTCATCCTTGTCCCACCCAATTATTTCATCAAAATCAACAATCATCTTATTAAATTGTCAGAATTTTCTGTAAAAATCAACTAACCTTGTCAACAATTAGACTTACCAAACAATTTACCATCTGATTAACAATTAAGCATCTGTAGCTTTGAAACATTGATCAACTTTTATGATAGTTTATCAATCAGTCTGTTAACTATCTGCAATCATCTTTGTCATAATTAATTTTTCGTGATTTAATCCTCAAATCTGGTTAATCATTTCCTGATTTTTCAATTGATTAAATATTCACCCGCAAGGATCACATTTAATGATTATCTAGTCCAATTATCATCGAAAGTTAATTGCTAAAGTGATTTAATCTCAATCAATAACTTTCAATTCATATTTTTATTGCTCATTGATATTTAAAATCAATGAGAAATTAACTAAATCATTTCTTTTTACCAGATAAAATAATCAAGGTTATATTAAATCACTAACTTTATTTAAAGACACATATTAATCAATTAAACCGAACCCTTTTTAGTTAATCAAAATTAATTGTAATCCCACAAAACAGGATCAGTTAATTGTAAGACCTTCTTGTAAATTTTGTTCATTGTCAAAAGACAATCAAGTTTTATTCAATATTAATAATTATCTTTGAGTATTTTTATACAACAATTTATTAAATTGTCTTGAATTAATTTTCCTTGGTGTTAATTGTAGTTTATAATGATTACCCTTAATGGTGGTAATTAATAGAGTTTATGATTAACTTGCCAAGTACAATAGTAATTAAATCACTTGGTGATTACTAACAATTAATTTAACAATAGTTTCTTTCTCTTATAATGAGTATACGATTCACGATTACTTTTAATTGTTAATTTAAATCTAATGATCACCAATGTTTTTTAACACATCAAATAATCAAAACAATAACTTAAATCAACACACACACGACAAGGTAAACGACTGAATTAATAATAAACACTAATGATTTGATTTAAATCCATTTAAACAATTGTTGTTTATAAATCAACGCCAACGCTTAAAACAAAACCAGCTAATCATCAAGACTGATTAAGATCACTATCTTAATCACAATAAGGTTGTTATCATAATTGTTAATCATGATACATATTCAATGACAGTTTCCATAAACAGTGATAATGACTCGTAACAATTTTATATTTAAGTTAAATTTTAAATGATTTACTGTATTGTTTTGGCAATTAAGATAATTAACCGTTACAATTGTTATCAAATTTTTTTTTATACATAAAAACATTAAGATTCAAGATAATTAAGACATTAATGATAGTTGAAGTTTGTCAATCATGTAGCTGATTAAGATCATGTTTTTATTTGATTCTAATTAATTTGTTTGATCAATTCTAAACAACTTTTCCATTGAATTAATTGTTTGTTTACTTTTCATTTGATAGAATACTCAACTTGATGGGACATCGGCTATAATTGAATTGGAAGGACTGAATAAACTTGCCGGTGGATTTCATGTCCACGAAGTATCTGTACCAATAGACCGTGAATTTCCTTGCTCTATGGACTCTACTCTTGGTCACTTTGACCCACTTTTAGTTGGAACCAACATATCTCATTATCCTGGAGTTGGTTCATCTGACCAATACGAGATTGGTGATATTTCGGGTAAAACGGGTACACTTAATGAACTTGAAAGTTACCGACATGAATACATTGATTACAATTTACCACTTTTTGGAGTTAATTCAATCGTTGGTCGATCAATAGTTATTCATAAAGCGGAGAAAAATGACCGTTGGGTTTGTGGGTCAATTAGAGCAGAAGTGAAACGAAATGAAGGGAAAGAAATAGTCGCTTTAGCGTCGTTTCATGATCCAAGAAGTTTAATCATTGGTTACGTTAGATTTAGACAATTTCAATACATCGATGGATCCACAAGTGATACTTGGATCGATGTTGACCTCCGACATGCAGGAAAATATAATCGTAACATTACCAATGGTCATAGATGGGAAGTCTATGTTAACCAAGTAGGGGCTGATGCTTTTCAACCAACTGAATCTGTCCGATGTGTCGCTGGAGGCTATCGTTGGGATCCTCAGTTGAAAAATGCCGATGCTCCACTTTACCGACAATATTGTACAAAAGCTAATCCACTTCGTTGTCAACTTGGTGATCTAAGTGGACGAAATGGTTACCTTGAAATTGGTGGTAAACGGAGACTATTTACCGATATTAATTTACCTTTAATTGGACCTGATTCGGTTGTTGGTCGTTCACTTATTATTTTCAGACAAAACGACGGTGAAACAAAAATGGCCTGTGCCAATATTGGACTGGATGTTCATCATGAATTAACAGTTTCCATGCAAAGTAATCCAACTTTTACCGTAGCAAAGTTCATGGATTATACTAGAAATCAGTTAAGAACAACTGAATGGCAGGTCGTCGCTGATACGCAATCACATGCAGTCATTCACGATGGTGATTGTATCACATTAACTGTTCACTTTTATGGTAATTGTCTAAACTTATTAACTGATCCGATTCAAATATCTTTGAAAAAAACATTCATGAGAGATCATCGGTTCTTAAGTTTGATTGATTGTCTTATTAATTGTTTATTTCTCTCTTTTCTCTATTAGGACCATCTGCATTTCGATTACAAAATTCATTCAGTAATCTTATGATTTTTGGAACTACTGAACATCAAGATGATCAGGGTAACGTTTTCACGATAAAAACCCCATATAAATCATGTAATCCTTGTAAGTAACTATTTCGCTAACCATTGATTGATTGATTAACTAATTTCGAATCAATTTGTTCACTTTCTCATTTAGTAATTTCCGAAGCCACTGCCTCTAGAGCAAATCCTGGTACTTACTTATCTTACCTGGGACTAATCGCAGCAGTGATTGGATTAACAGTTGGATTAGCATTTATACTCAGAAAAAAATTCTAAACGATTAATTCGGAGCAAAATTAATTATTCGGATTTCCAATTACAATAATTACAACTCCATGTATAATTAACTAGTCGCCATTGGATTTTATTTTTTAAACCCTTCCCTTGTTTTGTACTTAATGATGAAATTGATTAACTATTCTCAAGCAATTTAAAGTGCTAATCAAAATTTTTAATCTGTGATATATGTAAATTAATTGCATCTTACTCTATGTGTATACAAAATGATTATTTTATCAATATAAATAAACCTCGTCAAATAGAATTCAAACACCTCATACACTGAACACCGTAAGTAAGTTGAAATTAGAATTTAGAACAATTAATGGTTATAATTAATTAATAAGAAGATGATCACATTGTTAATTTTGATTAATATTTTCTTCAAAGGAATGAGAATTTGAATTTAACAAGATTGAACTTATTTGACTTTGATATTTTTGATTAGTACAATTTTTTGGTAATTTGTTGAAACCGAAAGTAAGTTGAATTTTTGGTTAACTGTTGAGATTGCAATTTGAGATCACAGGGCAATTAATTAATATGATGTGTGACCACCACGAGCTTTGATTACTTGGTTTAAACGCTTAGGAATACTTTAGACTAGCCTTTGAAGGACACTTGGGGGAATTTTCATCCATTCGGCTTCGAGCGCCGATTTGAACATTTGCTTATTTTTTCTCATTGAGATTGGAACGTGCCGATATAAATGATCCCATAGATGCTCAATAGGGTTGAGATCGGGTGATTGTGGAGGCCAAGGAAGAACAGGAATCTTATTTGATTCGAAATAATTAGTTGCGAATTTACATGTATGCTTAGCATTGTTATCTTGCTGGAAGACAAAATCATCTTCAATACCCATCATATGAGCGAGAGTGATTTGCTTATAACCAATAATTGGGACCATATTCTAATTTAACCTTTTAGTAATTTAATATTTCAATGCCATTCTCGTACATATCCGGGGGAAACACTTATTTGTAGAACATGTCAGAAATAGTTTATCTAATAGGCTTAACGATAGAAACTTATCGGAGTGCGTGATACTGGTTCAGAAATAGTTTATCTAATAGACGCATTGATAGAATGTGGAATAATTTTTCAAGTTTTTTGAAAAAACGGATTATTATAGGTGCTGTATAATCCTAAAGATACTGGAGAAAGCCTTATTTGTAGAATGTGTCAGAAATAGTTTATCTAACAGGCTTAATTATAAAAACTTATTAGAGTACGTGATACTGGTTCTTGTAAAATTAAAATTACAAGCAAGGTCGTAAAGGGCATTTTCGTTCTAGAGTATCAAGTCAATTATCAAATCTATCAACACCATTTTGGAACACATACTGGAGAAAGACTTCTTTTCAAAATGGTTCAGAAATAGTTTATCTAATAGGCTTAACGATAACGTATTGGAATACTATTAACTTTTAAGGTCAACTGTCAAATCTATCAGCGCACATACAGGAGAAAGACTTCTTTTTAAAATGGTTCAGAAATAGTTTATCTAGTAGACGCATTGATAGAATGTGGAATAATTTTTAAGTTTTTTGAAAAAACGGATTATTATAGGTGCTTTATGTTCCTATAGATACTGGAGAAAGACTTTATTGTAGGAGTTGTTGGAAGTTAATAAGAGTGAATATCATTATATTCATCAGAAACAATCTACATAAACATTTTGTTCCAGATTATATGGACAAAAGTCACATTTTATACCTGCGCTATATCTTTCTTCGAACGATTATGGCTTTTTCGTCAAAAACAATTTGTTTGACTAACAGTAGTTTCACGCTTTGAGATTTACCGGCTAAGCCGTAGAAAATTTAATACATCGCTTGTGGTAAGAAAAATTTTAACAAATCGTCCAAAAAAATTGAAAGTTTGTATTTTAGTCAATTTTAATCTGCATGAAATTATTGAAAATTTATAAAAAGGGTATTCATTATAAACTTAACGTGATTATGGTCAATGTGATCAATTATAATTAGTTAGTAATTATATCTGAGAATTTAATATTTTCCTCTACATTTCCACATCGAGGTCGTTCCAAGATATTTTTATATGATTTAGTAGCCAGCTCATTGATTAACACATTATGTTGAAAGTTAATTTGATTGTTTTGTTTTAGATGGTCATAAGTTAATTGGTCAATAATTGAACGAATCATTGAACATTTAACTGATTCTCGAGTCCATAATGATTGTAAATGTTTAATCAATTCTTTGATTGTTGTTTCAGAGAAATTCCAATTTCCAATATCATCAGGATTCCAAAAAGTTTTAAACAAAATTAACGGAAAATCCGAGGTTAACATGTATTGAGGTTTACTGGTTATAGTCTTAACGTCAAGTAATTTTTGTACCAAAGTGACCTCTTCCCGACCCTCGCCGATCAAAAATAAAATGGACATAACAAAGCGTATCTGATGCCAAAGGAAACCACTAGCGGCAATTTCAACGATATAAATTGAATAACCTGATAGATTATTTGATTGATCAGAAGCGGGAAATATTCTAACACTTTGGATGGTCCTTATATTGTTGATCTCCTTTCTACTTGTGTCTTTTTTACAGAAATTGGTAAAATCGTGAGTACCCACAAGGTATTGAGCGGCTTCGGTCATTTTACCAATATCCAAATTCGAGGCTGGAAAATAGTAATAATAACATCTTCCCTTACAATCAAATCGAGCACTAAATTCTGGTCGTACCGGTGCCCATGATATACATCGTATCTCATTGGGTAAAACTTTATTCAAAATGCCACAATAATCAATCTCCTCTTCATCGTTGATTGTTGATTGACTTTTTGGCCCATTTCTGGACATTGAACGTTAGCATTTTTAATTAGACCAAGTCCATCGTTTAATTTACTTCGAACATCAATTGAAATAACTTGACTAAATGCTGAGACACCTTTATCAGTTCGTCCACATCTATGGTAATTTGAATTGGTTCGATCTTCAATTAATCGGGTTTTAATTAATGCCGCAAATAAATGATCTTCAATCGTTTGATTTGTATCCTCTTGCACCACGAATCCTTGGTAATCCCATCCAAGGTAAAGAAATTTCAAAACAATGTGACGTTTATGGTAACGGTTAAAATCAAATTGTCGACACTTTCGTATCTTGGTAACTGGTGATTTATCTTCATCTTGATTGTCACAATTTTTTACATTGGAACCATGGCTTGGAATCAAGTGTCGCTTTTTAATAATACCTCTTAATTGTCGGACGTTTGCTTCGAGTTTTCTAACACGAGAAATTAATTCCTACGAAGAGAAACAAAACAAAACACCAATTAGAAACTCGTTGTTAATCATCGTAATCAAGAAAACTTACCTGTTTAGATAGACTTTCAATATCTACATCAATTGTTAAATCTTTTAAAGATGACATAATTTACTAATCATAAGTAATCAATCTAATTGTTTACAAAATTAGAGGAAAAAAAATCACAACAACAAAGAAAAACAAGAGATTAGAAACAGTTGAGAATTCATTTAAATTGTGAGACTCTAAAGGCACCAGAGTTTAATTGAAGAAACAAATTATTATATTGTTACAGAAAACAAATAGATGATTAACAATTAAAAGGAAGTTTAATCAATTAAGAAAACAATTTATTTTCAAATTTCCAATAAAATTGAACAAAAAATGAGTCAGAAAACATATGATTCATGTTACCATGGAAACCGAAGCTCCAAAAATGAATCAACTGATTAATCAGTTGATCAATTAAAAGTTTTTGTTTAACTAGCAATTAAATTGAAGATTATTGTACAATTGGTTTGTGAAAATTTCTCAATAATTAATGTTATCATTAATTGCGTTCGTGTTTGGATTTTATAAGCGATTGAAACTTTGAATTGACTATTGTCTGTTTGGGTTTTTGTGTTTGGTTTTTAATACGATTTTGTAACAATTTAGTTTACAGTTTAATTGTTGAAAATTGGTTAACTATAAGAGGAATAGAAGTGTATTGATTACTTTACGTTTTAATATGAGAAGTCTCCTGAATGCCCAGGTAATTGATCGTCTCTTTCTCGAGGTGATTTCAATTGTTTCCGTTGGAATTGGTGATAAAGATGAAGGTGTTGGAACGGGCGATGGTTTGGCCTCGGGCGATAAATTGTTCTCGAGTAAATATTTATCGGCAAGAGAGGCAAAAGAATCGGTAAAATTTAACGGGAAACACAATTCTCTTCGTCCATCGGCCTTTTGTACCAAATAGACGTTGAAAATTTCACTCGGGTGTAATTGTCGATGTTTAGAAATATCTTCCAATTGTGAAAATCTGACATCTTCCTGATTATCTGATGATTTAGACTCGATTGTTGATGATAAATCATCACTGTTGCTGTTGGTGTTTAAATTGTCTCCATGTATCCCGTTGATCAGAACACTAATCACAATTAAAGAGGAAATAAAACCAATCCAAGATAATCTAACCTATTGGAATCGTAAAGTATTAATAAAAGAAAACAATTAACCATTTGGATGATCAAGTACAAAAAATCAATGTGATCACAATCAATTGATTAATGGATTAATAACTTACCATTATGAATGATTAAGTGTAAGAATCAAAGTTAATCAAAACTAAAAGATGATCAAACTTAATGGTCAGTATTTATACAAGAAATAATAAGTAAATTGTTACTCTTTTCTGATCATGGCTGTTAATTTGAGACAATTTAGCAATTATTTCGTACCTGATTGAAAATCTAATCAAATGTTTATTTAAATTGTTGGTCTATTTTCAGGAGGTAATCAAATCAATTTGAATCGATTCAAAAATGGTGAAAGTGATTGACCAATGAACGACCATTAATATTGACAGTTAATTGATTATTTTCACTTTAATTGTGATCAATTTTTGATGTTGATGTTTTTTTTTCAATAAGATGGTAAAGTTAATCGGCCTCATCAAACATCACTAATTAATTATAGCACTTTCCATTAATCATCAAGTGTGTACGACTTGTTATCACAATGAAATCACTAAATTATCACAATCAACTTTGGGATTAACTTTTAATGAGGATTAATTTACCTGAGAAAATCCCAGTTAACTGATTAATCGTTATTACATTGACAAGATGAAAATTGGAAATGATTTAATTGTAAACTAATGGTTTCTATCGGTCCAACAATTAGAAACATTAACGATTGAGTGACAAGTAATCAACTGATTATGATTATGAGAAAAAAAAGGAAAAATAATAAAATCTAATTGCTAAGAGTTGGATTATCCTCTCAAGTTAATCTTTAATTAACTTAATCACAAGAAATTAAAATGAAAAAGTTTCTCTTTTCTCTTAACCAACAATTAGATATTTAAATTATATAGATTTTACCAACTAATTGTTAATTCAAGTTCAATGAATAATTCCGTTAATAACAATGTTAAAAATAACAATTAAACAGAAACAGCAACAATTAACTAAACCTCCGAATTAGCTGATTAGTCAATTTCTTATGGTCAAAATTAGACAAACAATTAAACACTAACTTCAACCTACAAGTACAATTAAAGTATTGATTATCACATTGATCGATTTCAATCAATTCCAAATCAATCTGTAAACCTAAATTAACCTAAATTGCGATGATTAAACTAATTTTTATTAGACTTTTGTTTGAGGTTCAGTAGTTAATAAGTAAATAAAATCATCTTAACAACAATTATAATCTCACCTTGATGATGGGATTGATTATAATTGACAAGTTATCGTTATATTTGATTTCTCATCTCACTCTAATACTATTAGGGTATTAAAAGTTGCTAATGACGATGATGATGATGATCTAGCGTAATTAATTACTACTAATAGTATATATTTAATCAAGAAAATCAGTAGTTAGTGGGAGAAGTAAATAAATAAAACGAGAGAGAGAGAGAGAAAGAAACTAATGAAAAAAAATATAACGAAAGTTAAGATGATAATTAGTGGAACGTTTGATCAACATTGATCACAATTAGTTAGAATATGAAAGAATGAGAATGATAAATTGTTAACAATTAGCGATGGTTATTATTATGTTACCCTTAATTGTGAACATCAGTTAATCGAAATTGTTTAACTTGTTTTTCTTAATTGTTTATCTTGTTGATTTCATTATTTTTGGTGTTTTCTTTTTTTCTATTTTTGATTAAATGGATCATCTAAATGATCAACGATCTGGGACTAATCAAGTGAACAATTTGTGCCAATCAACAACAACGAGTAGAAGTACAAAAGATTCACCTTGTATTCCGGTGATCAACTCATCGACATCATCGCGAAAATCAAGGTCAAAATGGCGACCTGAGGTTCCTGAGGTCAATTGGCAGGATTGTTTTTGTATTTGTTTCTTTTTCTATTTACTTTGCAGTGATACGGAATCGGAGAAACGACGAAAAAGTGAGAAAAAAGCGGAAAAGGAAATGATAAAACGAAGGAAAAATATTCTCAAACAACAGAAGAAAGAGAAAGAGCAAAGGATCAAGGAGATGATTAAGGAGAGGGAACAAGATGATGGAGAGAAAAAGGTTAAAAGTAAGAGAAAAATTGACCAAGAGAAGAAGGTGAAAGTTGAAGAGGTCAAGAAAAGTGACCATGTAAATATTAGAATTTCAGAGAAAAAAGTTGACCAATCAAACGAGATGAGGATAGAAAAACGTCCAGTTAATTGCGAATCAACATCAAAACCAATTAACCAAATTTTCTCAAATCAACAGTCAACTGAATCAAATAAGATCAACAATTTAGATTCAACAAATTTGGTTCCATCTAAAAATCCAATAATCATCAATTGGAATGATTTAAATTGAAATTGATTCTAAATTTAATTCATTAAGATTTGAAATTTTCTCTCCTCCATTAATCCAATGCTCTTGAAAAGATATTAATTGTTAACAATTAACTTTCATATATAAATAAGTATCAATTAAAACTTAATCATTGTAAATTGTCAAACTATAAACTCTTAACCAACTAATAATAATCACAATTGACACTAAAAGAATCAATCTAATTGTAAATTATTATTGATAATTATTCGTTTTTTAATTCAATTGTAAATTGAAAACAATTAAAACAAAAACCTTGACTAAAAAATGAATATTAAAATAATAACAATTAATCAACAATCAAACTGATGAAAACAACAAAAATTAACCATTGTAACTCATTTTCAATGATTAACAATAATTATCACCAAGATTTATACACAATTATCAAGGAAAAGTTAATTACGATAATAATCATCAACTAAATCACTATGACCTTTAACAATTAACAACAATTAGAATATAATAAAGATAATAATCATGTTAATAACCAATTAGAAGGTGAATCATAATAATTGATTTAGTAAATGATTAAAGTGACAAAAGTAAATTGGGTTGACCGAGAGACGAGAAAATAATCAAATAAGATTTTCATAGTGAACCAATTAAATTGATTAGATTGTTTAATGAACATGAATAATTATTATTATTATTTAATAGTAAATTCTGCTAACGAATTGAACTTGTCATTATTTAGCCTTTGTTTTTGTATTCTTATTGATATTTACAGGAGAGAGAGAGGAAAAAAAAATATTAATACAAGCACGAAACAAAAATATTCATTTTCAACTCTGAGATCAAAATGTAATAATAATAACATTTATGGAGAGGAAGATAAAAGGTGAGAGAGAGAGATGAAGTTTTCCAGGTAAGGTGATGATGATCAGATTGACGATGATTAAGATTATTGAACAATATTTATATTATTGTGTATAATTATTGGTTTGTGAATATATATGTTGATTTGTTAAGCCATTGTGTGTGTGGTGTTGTTGTTGTTGATTATGATTCAGCCAAGTTATTGAAGTGATTAGTTATTCAGATGATGATTAGGATGACAGATATGATGAAAAATAATTATCCTTTTTGTTTATCATCATGTTATCACACTTAATTGTGTATCCAGGGAAGAGATTGTCCAAATTGTTGAGACGTTGGCGATGACGATTATGATGATGATAATATTAATATATATTTATAGTTATTCTTGTTCATTCAATTTTTTGTTGCTTTCAAAATAATTTCGTGTAATTTTAGTTGTAGTAATATAATGATAATAATAGTGATCGTTTAACTATTGATAGTTAATCTCTGTTAATGGTGGTGATAATTATGATCATGACGATGATGATGATGATGATGATGATGGCTTCGTGTTAGCTCAATATATATAAGGAACAAAAATAATCTGATAATCTGCATGATGAATGTTGCTCTTGATTAGATTTTAGTTTCTTTAATTATTATTAACTGGAGTCCTTTTGTTTTCCTCATTGTTGTTGTTGCCTTTTCTTCATTCTGATAATGTTTTGTTAATTGTTGATGATGCTACTGATTGTTTGTGGATTGGGCTTCATGTTAATAGTCAATGGACAAGGATTACTTTTCTTTTCAAATTTGAGCGATCAATTTGTATTCTTGAAATTGATGTTTTCCTAATCCAAAGGTAATTCAAGATCAGGTACATTTGGGTTATCTTAAAATGAATATTTATCTTTTAAAGTTCCGATGGATTTGTGTAGATGTCGATAAAAAGTATTTGGATTAATGTTCTGGAATCGTTTTGTTTGATAAAGATCAACATCATTCTTGAACTTTGATAGTTTTTCCATGTATAAGGATTTTGAATGTATACACAGGTATTCATACAAATATATACATTGGATTTCAATTTGCACAATTATATTGAAGATAGAGGAAGAGTGAGAGAGTGAGAGGAGTACAGAAAGAAAGAAAAACATTGACATGTAAGGAAATTACTATTTCACATAAATCTAATACGATTTGGGTTCCAATGGTTCTTAGGTTCAAAATTTGACGCGTGTAATGGTTAAAGGAGCAGTTAATTGTAATGACAAAAGATAAAAATAATGTCAAGTTGATTGTGACAATCAATTGTCAACAGAAACAGGGGCCACAGAAAAAAATGCACTTTGGCAAAATTCTGCATTTTCTTGTTCTTGTCGATTAACATTTCTCTCCTTTCAAAGTCATTTCACATTTCACATTCAATGTCAGAACTATCTTCTAATCCATCTAAGTGACCTGAGATTTTCCACCTAAAGAAAACAAAAAGAAAACAAAAAGAAAATAAATCGAAATTAGAGTTTTAATTTACAAATCGTAACCATGTTTTAAGAAAATCGTACAAAAAAAACATCAACATACTTGTCAACTTGGTAAAGTGTAAGGACAACTAATTGTCTAACATGAGTTGGTAGATTTGTATCATTCAACAAGTTCTGCAATATCTCAATTCCTCCATCATCGATCAGTAATTGACAATATTTATTACCTGTGGATAGAAAGAAAGAAAACGAAAAATGAAGAGGAAGAAAAAGAAAATTATTAGATAAATTCCATAGGTGGATTAATATTAGTGCTTACAATAAACTCTGGTGAGATTAGCTAAAGCCCAAACTGCCCAATATTGAGCTTCATAAACCGGATTTTTAGCCTTTAATAAACGTAGGATTGGTTCAAAAGATCTGCAAGGGAAGAAAGAGGAAAAGAAAGGTAATACAATTAAGTGGGTTAAATTAATTAGTGATGAGCAAAATTAAGATGAGAGAGATTAATAACAAACCTGTAATTAATATTTCGCTTGGAATTGATTGTCCAACGGCCAATGGCTGTTACCATTCTCGATAGTACAACATCACGTTCAACAACTTCACGCAGGTATGCATGCCACACATCAGGTCCATCGGAAACTGAATAGAAAAAGATATGAGGGAAAATAAGGAAAGACAATTAATAAACAAGGTTGACGATTAAATTATTAATAGTATGATTATGATGAAAAGATTATTACCAAGCTGAGAAAGTATTCCAGCAGCGTTGTAGCTCACTTCAATTCCATCACTTTCACTCATTAAAAGCTCACTAAACCTCTGAATGTACTCAGATCTCATTAGTCGAGGTCGAAGATCTTCACATTCGGCAACATTACCCAATAGACCCATCATATTACGAAGAAGCTCTGATAAAATATAAAAGAGAAAAAAAAAGTTAGTAAATCTATTAAACTCTCAAATTTATCAGTAATAATAAATCTACAATCGAGTTATTTACCTGGTGGTTCGGGGAAAGTTGACATACAGTTGACAAAAAGGTCCATTCCATGATTGTCCAAAAATCGTTGACAGTTGATTGGATTTTCATCTGAAATGGATATTACAAATCGAGAGGGAAAAAAGTAAAACAAAGATTAAAACTTTTCGAATGAAAAATATCATCACCATAGGTGAATAATCATGATTCTCTATGATGTACCTGTAACGTTCCACATTGTACTCCAGGCGATTTCCATTACTTCATCACAAACTCCACGATTTAACCTTGATTCGATTAGAGTAATCAATTTATCGATAGCTCCCAAATCTCCAACCAGTGTTTTCTGTTCACCATCAACATGACAAGCCAAAGAGTTTAACAAATAGATACCTGGTGCGGTGATAATGATGATGGAAAAATTTGATTGACAAAGAAAAACAAAATAATGATTAACAAATGATTATCAAGAATCAAACACATGATACATAAAATATCACATGGGAACAAAAATAGACAAAAACCTACCCAATCTTTGAATAAATTCATCATCATCATTCATAACAATTAAAAGTAGAATCTCTACCATTCGTGTATACTCAAATAGCTGGAAAAAGAAAAGAGAGAGAGAGAAAAAAACAAATTACAATCAAAAGAATATCAATTAATCAAAGAATGTAAAAAGAAAATAGACAAATTCATCATTCTAGCAATTAGAAAACTTCATCAGGATTAATTCAGCAGAATGAATAATCTTATTCAATTAGTGTAACGGATTAAAAAATAATTTCTTTGCTGTTTTGATTGTAATCAGAGCTATTCCAGAGACAATCTTTGCATGGGGAAAAAAGATCATGCCAATGCCTCAAGGTCAATTAGCTACAGTCTATCCAAGAAAAACAGCAGCAAGAAACTAGTTGAAAAACCACCAGCAACTTACAACATCTTGAGGTAATTTAAAGTGAATCAAAGTCAGGCTTCCATTGCGTAGCATCTGAATATAAGAAAATGAATTGAATTAGATTAGATATTTAAAATTAAAGGAGAAAGTTTCATACTGAGTATGAATGGGAAACTTTCAAAGATTATTATCAACAATGGGAGTAGTTGATTAACATACCACATTGTCATGTTTATAACGTTGCATCGCATCTAATAGTCTAGTTACAATTGGCCTAGAAAAATGAGAGAGAGAGAAAAATCAAATAGTGATTAATAACATTTAGATAATAATAGTAATAGTCATGATAGAGTAATTTGAGTTTCCATTTTAATTGGATATTGATTTACCTTTTCACTTGTGAACTGTAGTTTTTAGCTTCATCTGATTTTACAATATAAAACAATGAGGCTGATGCAGCGATTTGTATTTGCTTTTCATTTAAATGCCTCGCCATTGCCGTTAGTACCACATTTAATGATCTGTTGATAGCATGGAATTCACTCTGAATTGATTACAGAAAAAAGGGAAAAGATATTAATCATAATTAGAATTACAATTACAAATTTGGGTTTTAACAAAGATTATCAATTCAATTGGTGATTAGTAAGAAACATTTTTTAAATACAAGACACAATGTTGAAGCTTATAATGATTGTTATCGCTATCAAGGTTATTCATAGGAATTAAAATTAACTGTTCAATTAAGATGGATAATCATTTAAATCACCTTTTTTTGTTGTTAAGCTTGATTATCATAATAATTACATTAATTAGTAAACAGAAGTCTTTTTTTCACATGGGTTATAAATAGAGAGCTGATTTAAAGAAAAATGTTTGTGCAATGACTGAATCGAAAGGTTTTGTTAATCATTTAATGATCAGCAAAAACAAAATTCTATTAATGATTAATCCATTTATCAGAATGGAAAATCAAATTTAAGTTAAAATTTAATTCACATTCAGATTGGAATTGGTTAATTATCTGATCATTTCTATTGATTGGTAATTTGGGTTAACCAGGAATAGGAAACAAAGAATCAAAATGGTAACATTGGAAACATTATTATTCATCTGATGGATGATGAATTTTACATTTTTCTAGGATAAAAATGAGACCACGAATCGTTAAGAGGAAAGGATGATTGAAAATGATAGAAGAGAGAGAGAGAGAGAGAGAGAGAGAGAGAGAGAGAGAGAGAGAGAGTAGGTTAAGGAAGTGTAATACCTAGAGAGAGAAAGGGTTTCTTTTATAAGATAACATATATTTGAATTTAGGAATCTTTCCAACATCATCATCATCTAGAACTTCACAAGTATCAAGAAGAAATAAACAGGAAGAGAAAGTGGAAATGTGATGATAGTGTGTTAATCTGTAATAGATTTTGTTTCCTTGTAGTATTGGTTAATAATCATTGACGAGATGAGAAGGTAAGAAAATGGAATGAAAATTTTGGAAATGATGATGACAGGAGATTCCATCAAGAGTTAATTGAAAAGATTGATGCAATTTAAACTAGTGTGTTTTTGACCAACATTCAAGGAGTTAATTAAATCAACTATTGATAGGTTGACATAGTCTAAACTATGGATAAAAATTTAATTACTTCCTTGTTTATCTTTGACGTTAAATCGAGAGAGGATAGAGTTGTAGTTGATGATAATAATGATTAAGACAGTGATATGATGAATAGCAATAACAACAACAACATTGTATCTTGATGAGTTGTTGAGGTAAAAATGGAAATATAATCAACATTTATCCTTGTGGAAAATTATTGTTTTTACCTCTATTCTGAAAGTATGGAAAAGATCATTCAATGCTTTTCTCAGTGGTTCGATTCTGTCCATATAAACTTCACAAGCGGTCAAAATTTGCTCCTCATTTGATTCACCGGCTACTTTAATTGCTGGAATTCTTGGTCTAAATGATGCATCACACTGAGTATTGTACAATCCTAAGAACTCTAATGGACGTTCGTAACGACTTTCTAATCCAATAATGGAATCAGCTCCTGTTTAGGATGAAAGAGAGAAAATTTAATCAGTTAATTATCAATATAATTTGGTTAATTTAACTTTTTCTCAATAAAAGAAAAATAAAAAAGAAGATAATTTGATTTTTGCCATAAGCCATTTGATTTTATTTTGAAAGGTTGATTGGGCTTTGATTGATCACAATCAGCACCGGTTTTTGAGGCTTAATTAACTTACGTTCACCGGCTAAATTGGTGCCAGAAATATCGAGATGGGTGAGATTGGGTAACGCTGTAACTAACTCAGCTAATTGAGCATCAGGTGACTTGAAACAATGTCCATGACGATCATTTGAAGATGAGATATCCAATGATTTTAAAGTTCTAAGCTGAGCAATTTTCTTTAAAGCGGTAGGCGAGAGTGGACAATTGTACAGTATCAACACTTTAAGATTTTTTAACGAGGTAAAAGCTTGACCATCACCAATTGAATTACAATTACTTAAATCCAGATAGGTTAATGTTTCATTCATCATTGGAGTTATTAATGTATCTAAATAACGTTGATTTCCAGAGGGGTTAACTTCATGGATAACCAAAACTTGTAGAGGAAGATAAGGATTAAGAAGATGTTGTTTCTGTAATGATAATAATGATAATAATAATAATAATTAAATTAGATAACAATCAATGAGAGTAAAAGAAAAATAAATAAACATTAACATCAATTGATAAACAATCATGAGTCAAGTTAATCATCATCAAGATTACTCATTATAATTATTAATTGTTTATGCATACAAACAAAACAGAAATGATTATAAATTACAATTAATATTAAAATAATTTCTACGTGAATCAGAAAAGGAAATAGGTAAACAATCAATCATTCATTTCACAATTAAATATTTAAATCATTCTAAAACAATGTAAACTTAATTGTCTTCATTTTGGTTATCGTTTTCTTTGTTAAAATTATCATTAATTTATGATAATATTTACAAGGGGTAAATTGCCTGTGACTAGTAAAGATTGTTAGGTCAAGGCTGCAATTGTAATTGCAAGAGTTTATAAATATATATCATGACCTAGAACTTCATCAGTAGCATCATCAGAACTATTATATGGATCGATAAAGATAAAACTAGAAAACACAAGAAAGAGACAGAGACAGAGACAGAGAAAGAGAAAGAGGAACCATGGTGATGATGAAATCGACCTTGATAATGTTAGAATTTTGAAATTAAAGGTAAAGGAGAAAACATAATAGAAGAGAAAGGAAGGAAAGAAGAGAGAGAAAGAGAGAGAGAATGATGATGAAAATGAGTCTGAGCGAAACTCTATACATCATCATGTAGTTATTGAGGTAAGTATTAGAGAGATGAGACCTTGACCGAATGAAAATCAATAATCGTAAGATATATACACATGGAAATAGAATCAACAATTCATGGATTTATTTTTCTTCGTCTTTGAACATTTCAATCTGAAAACATTTATAATGCTTCATTCATTCATATTATTTTTTTTTCTTGCTCTTCAAATTGGTGACATTATTTTTTTTTTATTCTCGCTTTCTAATAAACAGCATACATATAACTGTTGTCTAGATAATGTCTTCCCTAAATAATTCAACTGTAATCGTATTCAAGGTTAAATTTACAATATAATTGACTCAAAGAAATTGAACAATTTGTTAATCACTATCAATATTCATCATTGATTCAATTATATTATAATGGAAGAAATGAAACTCTGTACATGCTTATGAATAGATGTCCATTTACAATCAGCTGATTTGAAAGAGAATTATGAATAAAAAATAGTAAATCGATTTTCATTAATGAGATAGTTAATATCATGAATACTATATGATCGTTAGCATTAATTAACACAATTAATGAGTTAAATTTTTCTTCAAATGTCTTGATTGACAGAGAAAATGTTCATCTCCTTATTTCATGTAACTTTCTCACAGAAAATGGAGACACTAGGTCAAGGCCTAGAGAGACAAGAATTTACTCTCTCTCTCTTACTCTTTCTCTGAGTAAATTTCTCTCTCAGAAGGATGATTATGATAGATATGCAATGATGATAATCATCATCTTCAATCAATGTCTTAACAATTGAAACCAAGAGTTGAGTTGATCTTTTTTTCTTAAAATTATGTTACGGAAATATAACTAATGATGATATTTTGAGGTGAAGAAAATGAAATTATTACAAAATATCAATCAGCGAATTGAAATAATTAAGTGACATACAAAGAGATTAGCTGATTGGTATTCTAACATAGTCTCAATTCTAGAATTCAATTCATTTAGAAATTGAGTGACAATTTCAAGCCTACATGTAGAAAGCAATTGAAAGAGAAACTGATGAGAGAGACATTATTAATCAATATGAAATCACGGGAGAATGAGTAAAGTAATTTAAATTAGTACAAAGAAAACAGGGCGAGGATTATTATGCTAATAATAACAATTAAAAGTCAAGTTTAAAGTTAGTTTAAGCTTAAAAGAGAGACAGAAAACAAAAAGTTGGCTTGAAAATGAGATGAAAGAAAAGTGATGATGAAAATAAAAAGAGAGAACAGTTAAAATCAATGGCAACAATTAACATGAAACTTGAATGAAAAGGAGAAACTGGTTTAGTAAACAAAGATTCTGATTCAGAATTCAGAAAATTTTTTTCATGATGAGGGAAAAGTAGGCAATGGGTTAAATTGTAGAGAAAGAAAGATGAAAAATGAAAGAGAATCGAAAGATAAATTTTGCAGTATGTCCAAGAACGAACTCCTACGTTCTCTTAATTTAGAATTTTCTCTCGACAAGAAGATTAATTCTCGAAAGGAAAAAAGAAACAGGCAGATAACTAGACAGAACTCTTTACTTTACCCTGACTTCATAAAGAACAGTATCATTTATATGAGAAAAAGAATTGTACAAAGCTAATAAAGTAACAATGAAATTAGAAAAGTAGGACAATTAGGACAAATTATCATTTGGACAACTGAACAGAGAGAGAGAGAGAGAAAACAATGGTGATGAAAGAGTCAAAAGATAACTGTAAATCTTTCAACAATTGAACTTCCGAAACAAGAAAAAGTTTAGAATAAACAAAAAACAATAAACTGGACAGAAAATGTTGAAAGAATGATATTATCCACATATCAATAATTCATCAACTTTGATGGAAAAGACTCAATATTTTCATGACTGAGAGAGATGATCAATCCAGAAAAGTGAGTAAATTGTGACAGCAAAAAAAACAGTCATCATGTAGTGAAATCAATGATAAAAAATACAGCTAATCAAGATGAAAATGACAAGAAAGAGTCAGCTTAAAATGTCATAGCTATACTTTCATCATCATCATCATCAATAACAAAGTTATCAAGCTTCTTATTGGATTAGAAAGTCAAGAAGAAATGAAAAAAAAGGATGAGAGTAATGAATGGGATGATGGAGAGTATGAGAGAGAAAAGGGTATAACGGGTATGGTGATGGAAACAGGTCAGTAGTGCGGTGTCCCCGACATGTACTAGAAAAAGGTAGATGGACATTCATCTTCAATCTCTCTCAATCTCCCTCAAAATCTCACATTTCATCCGAAAAACTTGATTTCTATTCTTATCTTTAATCTCTTTCACTATGTTTATGTTTTCAATCTGATCTCTCGTAACCACATGCATTCAAAATGATAATTCAGGTTATTCATTATGACAGATAATCTCATTTGATATATTAATTCATTCGTATTCAGTTTTACTCTCTATCAAAGAGAGTGATAAACAGAAAGTTCTAGTTATATTGAAAAATATCTCTCTCACTGTATCTCTATTCCAATTATTACAGAGATAATCAGGATGATAACAAAAAATGAGAAAAACTGATTAGTTTAATTTTCATAGATATTTTTCTAGTGTTAAATGTTTACCTAAAAGATATGATGATGGATTATCAGTAGTGAATGAATTTGGTCAAAGAAAAACAATAACTTTTATCATTTTCTATTATGATTATGATTATCTCACTTTTTTGTTGATTAACCAAATAATCAATTGTTAAAATTATAATCATCATGTATAAATGGTAAATTGGGTTGATCAACAAAATTATTAACTCTTCAGATTATAATTGTCTTCAAGTGATTATTACTTGAAATTGATTATAATCTTACCAGATAAACGGATCAAGTTTATTAATAATAATCTTAAACTGACCACTTACATTCACTTAATCTTGTCCAATATTAAGTTGAGAAGTAATCTTGATTGTTCATCAATAGAGAGAATCGATGATTTAATGATTAGGCTAAATTTTAGTTGGCAATTAATCAAAATCAATCAATTTCTACTGATGATGACAGCTATTAATTCTGATTGTGACTATTTAGACAATGATCAGTAATTAAAATCATGTTTTTATCCAATTCATTTCTCTGAACTTTTTTTTACTAATCATTGATAATTTCTACTTGAAAATTACAAAATTGTAACTTTAAATGTTTACTATTTTTACTAATCTAATAATAAAATCATCATGATTTCAACTTAATTACCAGGACGAGATTTGGATGTTTGTTATATATTTTATTCTAAGGTAAATGGGATTATAAAAAGTTGAATTAAGCTGAACTTTTTATTTCGCCAACAGAATTAATCATCATTAATAGAAGAAGAAAGAATTAAATTGTATATTTGAAAAGCTGTCATTCTAAAATTGAGTTTCTTTTCCTCGGATGAACATGTTATATGAATGAACTCTCATGGAAATTGAAAAACAATCAATTCAACAGAAAAAATAACAATAACAAATTTTCATATTCTATTTATCTATGTCTCACTCTCTATTAACTTCCGCTGATTCTTATGATCCAAAGTGAACCCACTTAACAATTATATAAATAAAGCTCAAATTTTCTGGATAAAGTCTAATCCATTTTTTTCCTATTAAAAGTAAATAATGAGATGATAATACGCTAATTAATTACACATTTTGAAGACTAGTTCTTATAGAGAACAAAAAATAACAACAATAATAATATGAAGTAGCGAGATAGTAATGGAGAGAGAGAGAGAGAGAGAGAGAGAGAGAGAGAGAGAGAGAGAGAGAGAGAGAGAGAGACTGTACCTGGTGAAATTTTCCACCCTGAGCATGAATGATGAGTAAAGGTAGAAAGAGAAATTAACAATTATGATGCTTACCTTTTCTGTGATAGTAACAAGGTCGGGATCAGAGTCTGGAAATATTTGATTGCATTTTCCAATGATTAATGTTTCTAATGAGGATTTACACCAAGCTTTATAATCAAGGTAACGAATTACATCTTGTCCATTTTTTCCTTTCCTGATATGATCTCGAATTATGTCAGAATCCTCGAAAACTGGACTATCATAGCCTGAGACAAGAGGTTCCGATGTTTCTTTACCCATAGGTATTCCAAGACATTCCATTAGGTCATTAGATTTTTCAAATGGTGAGGATGAGGTAGACGATGGAGTTGATGATGAAGATGAGAATGAGGTGTTGTTGTTTACTGTTAGATTGTTATTATTATTGTTGTTGTTAGTTAATGAAGAAGGTGAACATGAAGGTGAAGATGATGTTGATGATGAGGTGGTTGTTGCATATTTTCTGATCATTGATCTACCATCAGCCATTTTTGATAGTTTACGTCTTAAAGTGTCAAAACCGTACTCAAACACACCCATTTCATCAAAAATGGAGATGAAATTGTTTTTAACTCCAACATAGGTCGTCTCACACATACCAAGGTTAGATGTTATCGCACCTTTCTCATATCTTTTATCAAGTAAGATATCAAAGGTATCTTTGTTTCTTGATTCAATTACACGGACGGTGACAACTAATTTATCCAAATTATTGGCATTAATTCGTGTTGGAAGGTAACGAATGTACATTAAAGCTGAATCAGAAAGCTTCTGACAATTATCAATATCCAGATACTTTAAAGTATTCGTGTGTTCCGATAAAATGTAATATAAATCTTGATCGGTAATGGGAAGATCAGCTAGACGAGCTTCACTGATAGGTGAGGTTCCAGCTTTAAATTGTGATAGAAATCGAGCAACTCGTTCACCGTCATTCGTGTTGGCGTTTTGATGTCGGAAAGCCTGAGACAAAAACATGTAGTAAATGATGGATAACAAATTCCAAAGTGAATGGGTGAAGAATTAGATGAATGGAGAGAGAATTATAGTGAGAGGAATAACAATGTGATGAGCAGATGTAAAGCCACGGAAGAGTGGAAAGTCATATGATAGATTAGTGAATGAGAGAGAGAGAGAAAGAAAGACCATTAGAACCCCAAGTAAATTAGAATAGAGATTGCATCAAGAGAATATAAAAGAGAAGAGAAAAAGTAAAACGTAAATTAGCTTAATGTTAAATATCTTCGTTGTTGTTGTTGTTTTTTGTTCATTGTCCATTAACCAAGGTTATTTATGTTCTTAGGAAATTTGGACAGAACAAAACAAGTATCACAATCTAATGGAAAGAAGTAGCTAGTTACATACCTCGAGAAGGTTATTACATATCTCCATGGGAAGGCAAACATTTTTAAATGGAATCTCATTGGTAATTATTTTATTGAGACAAATCATCCATAATGAATCGGGTGTATTGTTATTAGTGGTGGCAAATTGGCTCGACATTGGTCTCCGATGCCTGTGACACAATCAGAAGAGAATTTAAATAAATTAGTTAATAATACCGTTGATTTGTCAAGGGTAAAGATGAGACGAAAAGGATGAGATTAAGAAGAGAAAAAGAGTAGAGATGTTTGTTGTTATTGTTGGTAATCAGCAGATTAATTTTACTTATATAAAGTGAAACGAACAGAGATTTTAAAAGGAGAAGAAGTTAAGAAAACAAACAGAAATTATAGTCTGGTGTTGAATAAGTGTATCCAAAATCAGTCAACAAGTTAAACAATCGCACAATAATTATCACAATCAAGGAAAAACATTTTAGATAACAGGAGAGAAAGAAGGAGAGAGAAAGAGAAACCAGAAAATAGACAGAGAAGGAGAAAAGATAGAAAGAAAAATCTGAACAAGAAGGGAAAAAAAGATGAGTGTGTAGAGAATACAGAAGGAAAAAACAGAAAAACTGAATGTGAGTCAACTGATACGAAAGAATAAAAAGGAATGAATGTTCTGAGCGATGAGAAAATACAAAACATTCAATAAAAGAAGAAAAAAGAGAAAAGAAGAGGAGTAAAGGAGAGAGAATAGGAGAGAATAAAAAGGAGAGAAAAGATTGAGGAGAGAGAGAGAGAAAAGAGGGTCGCGGGGAGAATATAACACTTTAAGGCTTACATCATATTGGAGATAAAGAGCTGGATATTTTTTCAATAACACACAAGTTTTACTTCTTTTTATTTTACTCCACCAAGAACCAATAAAAAAGAAGAGAATATTAAAAGATGTTGAGAGAAGAAGAAGAAGAGAAAACAAGAAGAGAAAACAAAAATGAAAACTGAAGAGAGAAAAGAAAAAAACCAAAAAAGAATAACAATTGTTTTTCTGGTCTTTTTTTTCGTTTTCTATTCCAATGAAATTATTCCAATTGTTTGGGTGAGAAGCTGATATAACAGTGAATTACAGAATGGGTGACAAAGCAATTTATCTAAATTACGATGGAAACAATTAATGAAATAAACAGAGAGACGGAACAATCTAATTCACATTTCAAATCAAACTAATGTAACAAATGATAAACAACATGAATGAATTTCCCTTACCCAAAATAACCGAAAATTGTGCTGCCATCTAGTGGATTTCTTTTCGACTTTTTTAGTAAACAAAATGTTCACTTAATTTTTTCCTTTTCCATTGTGATTGTTATATTTGCTCTTGTTAATTAAATTAATTAAAATCTTGTCTACAATTAAATTAATGTGAGTATTTCGCTTGATTGAAAAGATTAAATTCAAAGTCATCTTGAGAATTTATTCTTTTCGGTTTTCTCATTTCTTTTTTGGAATTTGGTTTAAATTCTCTAAATGGAATAATTTTTTTTCGATTTTTTCCCTTTTTGTTTCCATTTAATTTGATTGTTCTTTTTTTGATTCTATTGATTTTGATTCGATTGTCTTTTTAAATATCTCCATTGAATTTAATTGTTTGTTACGTTGATTCAGTTTTTCTGGTAAAATGATTAAATGTGGCGCTTACCTTTGGATTGTTAATCATTGGCTTAGATTTTTGTGGCGCCAACATTTGTTGTTGTTCATTGTTGGCTTAATGATTCAATTTCTGTTTCTGCTTTTATCATCTTCTACCTTTTCTCCCCTAATTTAATTAGTATTTAAACTAATTAATTTTAATTGTTTCTTTTAAACTTCTCTGTTAACCTTTACCTCTCCATCTCACTTTGTTTTAATTCTATTTGATTATCTGTTTTATCATCAGAATGTCTCATGTTGATAAATTAAAGGATTTGGTTTACTCACAGAAAAGAACGGTAAGTATTTGAACACATTCTCTTCTTGTTTTAATCATTTTCTTCCATTTTATTTATTGTTTTTTCTTTTTTATTTTTATTTTATCTTCGCAAATATTTGACCTTTTGTTATTTCCTTACAGGTTTCAATTCGTGATGTTTGTTATTCTTTGAATGTTCACGTTTCTGAGGCTCGGAGGTAATTACATCATTCACTTTGTGCTACTGTCTCTTATGTCTTCTTACTACGCTTTTACTGACGACTGGTTTTCTCTTTTTATTTATAGAATTTTTGATGAATTTCTTGCCGAACTCAAGGAAAAGGACAGTTCTAAATTAGTCGTTACTTATATCGTGTCTGGTTCTGGTCTGGATTCCACTGAAGATTACAAGGTATTTCCATTATATGACTTTGCTTTATCAATGTTTCTTTAATGATGTTTTCTTTTCATACTGTTTTTAAGGTTCATAAGCTTACATATGCCAAGGCCGAGGAATTGGATGAAATCAAAAAGGATTTGAGACTATTTCTAGTTGTAAAGTTAATTCCATTTCATTGAGAAATGAGGATGAAGAAAACGTTTCATGTAATGGCGACGATGTGAAAGAGCATTTTCTAGATAGAGATGATTTTCTTAAGAAGCAAAAGTAAGATCTTGAGTTATCGATTCTCTTTAGATTAACAACCAATTGTAATTTTTTTCTATTTATTTTCATAGGTTAACTTATATTGTTAATGATAATATTCAACTTCGTCCAGATCGTTTGGAACGATTGAATTTGGTCTCTGGTGTTACAGTCAATGGTTCTAATGGTGATGTTAAAGCAGAAGTGAAAACAGAGAAAAAAGAAAAAGAAAAGGAAAAAGAAAATAAAACCGAAACTAAGAAAGAGACCAAAAGCTCAAAGCGAACAACAAATCGACGTGGTAATGGTAACAAAAAGCAAAGTAAATTATCTGGTTTTGGATCTAAAATTCCGAAGAGCGAAAAAACCAATTCATCGGGTGATTCAGGATTCTCCATGGAATCTACACCCGATCCTTTCTCTGAGGAGGAGGAAGAAGAGAAATCCCCTGTAAGTGTAAAAGAGGAAGAAATGGAAGTCGATCCAAGTCCAGTCTCACCTCCATCATCTTCGGAAGAAAAGATTCTATCGGAAGATGAAAAACCTCGAGTAAAAGAAGATGATTCAGAAGATGAAGCCATCTTCATGGAAGAGGTAAAAGGAAAGTCTAAAAAAGAAAAAAGTAAAAAGCGTAAACGTGTTCGAATTTATGATTCGGATGAGGATGAAGATGAAGAAGCCATGGCTTTAAGAATTTTGGCTGGAGATGATGGTGACAATTCCAATCATTCTAGTGTCGCTCGATCATCAATAGAAAGTAATAAATCCGAAGAACCGAAGAGGTGAAACCGGTCAAAAAACTGAGGAAAAAGTCCAAACCTATGGAAACAAAAACAATATCTGAAGAGTTTGTCGACGATGAAGGTTATACTCAAGTTCGATTTGTGAAAAAATTAGTACCTGTTGAAGAAAATGTCGAGGAATCGAAACCGGAATCGACTGAGAATGGAAACGATAAAAACGACATCACGTCGAAAAAAGTAAAAACCGAAAAACAACCAACCAAAAAACAGAAAACGGCCGAAAACGACGACGAAGAAGATACAAAACCCAAGCCTAAAAAGTTATCGAAAGCGGCTCAAGCCAAGAAAGGCCAAGTTTCGATTACCAGTTTCTTTAAACCCGCAGCAAAGGTTTAAACTAATCAGTGCCTTGTAAATATCGTGATCGGAATCAATTATAATCATCATTCTCTCTCATATTCATATTTAATTGATCGAATTTTTTCTCTTTGCATTTCCTTTTCTTCCTCTTATTTGATTCTTGACTCACTTAGAGAAAACAGTTAATTCAACATGTTCACATAATCTAATTTCAATTCTCATCACAACACCAACTACATTCGAGTACCAATTACCTTCTCAAATCGAGGAAATTTTATCCATAAAACTGTATCCTGTCAAAACTCAAGAGAAATCGGATGTCAATCAATTGGTTAACAATCAAATCAACTGATCATTTTTCCTCTCATAAATAGCATCTTTCCAATGTTAATCTACATGTATAGAGTTAATTGTAATGAAATTATCGCATTACTAAGTTTACCTCTTGTGATTAAAAAGTATTTATATTACGTAAAGGTTTCATTGAGTAGCTTAAAAATGTTTAATGTTGAAGATACAAGAAGCTAATCGAGAGCGAAATTGGAATTGATTGCTTGAAGCTCATTAGAATGTTGAAGAAAAATCCAACTTAATTAGTGTGGATATTTTTCTGGTTCTAATTGAAAGTCATCGTTTTGTGAGGATCGTTAACCAATAGGCCAGAATCAGAGACGACAATTGAACCCGTCATATTTTTGGAAGCATCAGAAGAAAGGAAAGCAATTAACTTGGCGATATCCGCTGATTCTCCGACACAATTAAGAGCCGTTTCCTTGACCATTTCATCCCAAATGCCGTCTCCTTTACCGAAGAAATCAAGTATATTGGTTCGAACTGGGCCAGGATTGACGGAGTTAACTCGAATCTCGGGTGCCAATAATGAAGCCATAGATTTAGTGAACATATCGAGCGATGACTTCGACATACAATATGACCAAAATACAGCATGCTGATGATAGGTGAAGAAAAATCAATATGAGACAAAAAGAGAATCGGCTTTTAGTTAAATTCAGTTAATTTCGTAAGATTATTGGAACTTACTGGTTTTTGACTGGCGATACTCGAAACATTAACTATGGCCCCTTTAGCCTGAGCAAGATGATCTTTGGCCAATCGAGTTAATATTATAACTGCTCGAACATTGATCTGCATCACTCGATCATAATCCTCAAGAGAATCACAATCAGTAAATCCTTTGGTAGAAACGACACCAGCATTGTTAACCAGAATATCCAATTGATTATAAGCTTTAATTGTCTCATCAAAAGTCCTCTTTACATCTTCATCTTTCTCGAAATCCGCTTGGATTACAATTGGTTTTAATCCATTAGGAGATTTAGATTGACATTCACTTGAAACTTTATCCAATTTACTTTGAGTCCGACCAACGATCGCGACCTTAGCACCAAGAGACGAAAACAGAATGGCCGTAGCAGCACCAATACCATCACTCGAACCAGTAATTAGAGCAACTTTACCTGTTAGGTTAATCATGTTCACAATTAACTATTTTAAGTCGAGAATATGAAATAATTAAGATGAATTTCAAAATGGTAACTTAACAATATCCAAAGTGTTTTGGTAAATAAAACAAGGAAAACAAATGTAACCAATTTTAATCACAATTAGAATCAATTGAATATATAGCAAGCCTACTAGGCCAGGAAATGGGAGTGATTTAATTTGGTAATTGTATTAACTATTAATACTTGTTAGTACACTAAGACTCCCCTAATTGTTATACTTGAGAAACTAATTGAACAATTGAAACAATTTAAACAATAAAAGAGTCTCAAAAGCAATGATGAAATTACAGTAGTGATGATGGTCCTTAATCATTAAAAGTACAATGAAACTATTGTTAAGGTGAAATCATTTTAATTTGATTGTAATCAATTGTTAACCCAATCAGTTTGATCATATGATGTGAATACAATCAGACTAGAGAAGAGACTTGATAACCTTGGGAATTAAGAAATTTGGTTGATTGTTTGAGTGGTAATTTAACATTGAATAAAAGATAATCAAGAAACAATTTATTCTTTGTCTCATCTATCTAATTAAGAAACCAAAGAAAATCAGTTAATTAAGTTTAATGTTACATCGATATGAAAACCATTCTTTTAATTGTAGGAAGATTAAACTATTATACAAATAAAGAAACGCAATTAAATTAACTCATTATAAGATAATTTTATTTAATCTTCAACTTTCATCGAGTGGAGGAAATGTAAGTTTATCTTTAATCTTAAGATTGGATTAACTGATATACACTTAAGTAGTTAATTAAGAATTAAAATACGAAAAATTAACAATTCTATTGAAAAAATTTAAGTGTAATGTTGAGGAGAAAATTTTTAGTGGCTAATGTTGATTGTAATCACTTTGATTTCATTGGATCTTTGATCAGTAAACCAGAATCAGAAACGACAATTGAACCTGTCATATTAGCAGCAGCATCGGAGGCCAGAAAAGCGATTAGTTTGGCGATTTCTTCAGGTGAAGCGAACTTGTTTAAAGCGGTTGCCGAAGCCATTGTTTCGTAAAATTGATCGTAATTTTCAATTCCAGGTAATTTAATGCTCGTTTTCACGGGTCCAGGATTCACAGAGTTGACTCGAATCTCGGGTGCCAATAATGAAGCCATAGATTTAGTGAACATATCGAGAGATGATTTCGACATACAATATGACCAGAATAATGTACTCTATTTATTAATATATCAACAGGAGTTAATAGAAATTGAAATTTTACAAAATAATATTTTCACTGTTAAATTATTATGAACAGAACTTACTTCTTTGAGAGCAGAGATACTCGAAACATTAACTATGGCTCCTTTAGCTTGAGCAAGATGATCTTTGGCCAATCGAGTTAATATGATAACTGCTCGAACATTGATCTGCATCACTCGATCATAATCCTCGAGAGAATCACAATCAGTAAATCCTTTGGTAGAAACGACACCAGCATTGTTAACCAGAATATCCAATTGATTATAAGCTTTAATTGTCTCATCAAAAGTCCGTCTTTCTCGAAATCCGCTTGGATTACAATCGGTTTTAGTCCATTAGGAGATTTAGATTGACATTCACTTGAAACTTTATCCAATTTACTTTGAGTCCGACCAACGATCGCGACCTTAGCACCAAAAGACGAAAACAGGATGGCCGTAGCAGCACCAATACCATCACTCGAACCAGTAATTAGAGCAACTTTACCTGTTAAGTCAATCATTTCGTTCAACAATTAGTAGTTTATCAGTTAATTTCAACTGGTACAATAGTTGATTGTTTCAGAGCACAAATGAAAAAAAAACAATACGAATTCAGATGAATTATTGCTTTTATTTGATTTCACACCGAATTAACCTTGGAGTGTATTATGTGGATCAATATTTATAATCTTATTGACATGCACCTAATTTAATTGATCACAATCTCACAATCGGGATAGTAATTCATAATCTATTTGTATATTTATTAATCTAGTACTAAATATAACAAAGTTGCAAGAACTTAATGATGAAATAATGTAATCTCAATATAAAAACTTTTATTACAATTTTCCTAACTAATTAATACAATCCTGTTGATCTATCTTTCTATATTCACAGATAGCAAATCGATAGGATTTAATTATAATCCAATGAATTATTATTAGAAAGTAATTACTTTTTTAAGCTTTGATAGTCTCATCAAAGGCCCTTTTTACATCTTCATCAACTATAATTGTTAAGTTAATCATTTTGATTTCAAAAAACGATGATTAATATGATACAAATACGACAATTTAGATCAGTTTATTGAGTAACTCACGTTTGTACCTGTTAATCAGTTCAGAGATTAGATAATCACATGGAACCACATGACAATTGTGCTTAAGCTAATTCACTTCGATTCGATACAATAAACTGATCACAACAATTATCTAACTGATTAAGTTGTTGTTATCAATAGGAAATCTTTCCGATCACTTTTCTGTCTGACAATTATCTGTTAAATAATCAAGAAGCTAATCTACAATTAGACTCTAATTGTAGACAATTTGCCACTCGATCAATAGTATTAGGTAGAGATCAATCATCTCAATTATATCTAACTTCCATTGTCACTTTTTAGAAAATCATCAAATCGAATCATGGATGAACCAAGTTCGAAGTCAACAATCATTGAGACAAAAGTTTCACACTTCTAATTAATCTCGATAATTGCAATTCAGCTCAGGTAATAATCGATCATGATCTCGAAATTTGATCACCATGAGATTCATATCAACAAGCAGATCGAGAGGAGAAAAAAAAATCCGAACATTGATAAGAAAAGGTTAAGTTTTAATCGAAACGGAAGAAGAAAAAAACAATTCGAATCATTTCCAGTTGAACAATCAGACATTTCTCATGATAATCTTTCGGTGGGAAATTTATCTGATTGAACTTCTCAGTCGATATTAACCACATTATCTTAATTACCTTTGTAATTAAATAAATTTCTAATTACTTCCCCTTCGAGTCAATTAATTCAAAGAAAATGATTTTCATCGTTTTCCTTATAAGTCTTTGTTTACCTTTTTCGTTTTCTCTTCTCTCTTCCTCTCTTTTCCTTTCTCTCTCTTTCAATGTTTTCTTTTTTTCTTGTTGATTCTCAGTTTGTTTCTCGCTCTCTCTTATTGACAACATGTTCATAAATCTCCATTTTCTGGTGACAACAATTATCTCTCAATCAACTATTCCATGTGTAGACAAAGAGCTAATCAGAAAATAAGAGATGTCAATGTTTCTTTAATTTAATCTTCTAAAAATCATCTTCGTATTCCAATAACACTAATTGTGAATTTCTGTTGTTGCCTATACTTGCTAAAGAAAAAGGTAAATATGAATTAATTTGATTACCTTTCGGGTATTTGATTAATTATTTTTCTCCATTTTTTTCTGTTATTTGATCTTCAATATTTCTGTTCTTCTCTCTTGATAATTTCAACTAATTCTGTTCATTATTTTCTCTCTCTTTAGGAATTTACTTTTTGTTTCTCTATAATAATACCAAAGATATGAAAAAATGTTTTAATTGATTGTATTTACCAAAAGGACTTGAAATGTGGTTAAATTATTATTATCCAAATTCATTGAATTCTATTGATTGTCTTGTTCTCTCCTTTATGACAAAGTGACCAGTGTTTTCTGGTTTTCAGTTGACCATCGAGTTGATTTCATCCATTTTATTGATTTGATTGATTTAAAAGGTGTAAACAAGACCATCGAGTTAAAGACTTGGTGGTTCTTGTTTAATTGATCGCATGTGAATGAGACCAATTTGTTATTACATGTTGACCTCCCTATGGAAGAGGAAACCGTTACTTTTGGCCATTGTGATGGTCGCATCTTTCACCGTGATCGCCCTTCAGTACAATAGTGTCTCTGATTCAAAGAGAAACAGTCTCGATCCTCAAATATCTTCTTCTTCATTCAACCCACACTCAACCAGGAATAATGTAAACTCCTACTCTCAGGATAGTCAATCATTACCAAGGAGAAATCTATCAGCTCTTGGATTAGATAATGGAAATATTAATCATAACAAAACAACCACAATCAGAATGAGAATGAGAATGAGTATAACAATAAAAAAGACAAATCAGATCAGTACATTGAAAAGAGACGAGATGAAGATGATCCAAATAACTTGAGTGATGGTGGAGATTCAAGTGATAAAGACAATCAAATTCACCAGTTTCATCTTCATCAATCGCTGCTCCTTATGAATCTTTTGGTGGAAAATATTCTCATTTATTTACATCGGAAGATAAGAATTCAAGAATCAAAAAGGACGGAGAGAGAAACAGTTATTATGTTCCTCCATATAGATTGGTTCACTTCGACCTGAAAGGAGCCCCACCAAAGATGAGTTACCTCAAGTCGATACTGAACTGGTAAAAGAGGCCAGCCACTGGTATTCTCGTTGAGTATGAGGACATGTTCCCATACGAAGGCTATTTAAGTGATATCTCGGCAAAAAATGCTTACACGAAACAAGAAATTGATCTGCTACTCAAGACGGCGGAACAACTTGGTTTGGATGTGATTCCTCTTATTCCGACCTTTGGACACATGGAATTCGTTCTTAAATCACCCAAATTTCGGCACCTTCGAGAATATGATCCATATCCAATGGCTTTGTGTCCTTCTCAAAACGAAACTTTTTTTCTCATCCAACAAATGGTCGATCAAATCATGTCCGCTCATCCCAATATCAAATGGCTTCACATTGGTTGTGATGAAGTCTTTCAAATAGCCTATTGTGACAAATGTCGAAACTCCGATCGGGACACTCTTTTCCTTAATCATGTAATTAAAGTTGCCAAATACGTGAGGTCTAAACACTCAGTTATCCCCATCGTTTGGGACGATATGTTGAGGAACATGTCACCAGAAAGGTTAAAGGAAAGTAAAATTGGTTCTCTGGTCGAACCGATGATCTGGACTTATGTCAAGGACATTTACCGTTTCATTCCCTACCCAACGTTCACCTACTTTGCCGACACTTTTGACAATGTTTGGGCTGCAAGTGCCTTTAAGGGAGCCTTTGGTGAGACCCTTACAGTGCCCAATGTCAAGATGCACCTCGAAAACAACGAGGGCTGGCTCGAAGTGATGGCCGAGCAACATGGACACTTTAAATCTTTCAGAGGAATCGTGGTGACGGGTTGGCAAAGGTACGATCACTTGGGTACTCTTTGTGAACTCCTTCCTTCGGGACTACCTTCGCTCATCATTGATCTCATCACCTTAAAAAATGGACACTTTGATGTGACCAAAGTGTTTAAAGAGTTTGACAAAATAATGAAATGTTCATCTTCATCTTCATACTCTAACAATAACAATCAATATGGTTACCGTGAAGAAAGTAACATGATTGGTTCAAACAATGGAAACACCAATGGATTTGACTTTGAATCGGATCCTTATTTGTACAATCGAGCCTCTAATTGCTTATTCCCTGGATCATCAATCTTTAGGATGACACAAACTGTTGCCGATGCCGTTAAACGTGTAAACGATTACATTTACGATGTGACCATTCACAAGGCCTGGCTAACGGACTATAATGTGCGTCATAATGTTTCTAATCCTTATCGAGTAGACGAAGGGCTAGAACAACATAGTAATGTGCACTTTTTGTTGACTTCTGCTCTTCGATCTGCATCCTCATCACTTCGAGAAGCTTTCGATGAATTCACGGTGAATGAATGGATAGAACAAAATATTTATCCCTATCTTCTTAAAATGGAAAAAGTTCTAAAAGATGGAGAAAATCTAAAGAAATCTAAAGTTTGGCCTCGAAGACCTTATCCTCCTCTTCCTGATATGAAACGATTTGGATTATAAATATCACCTGATTGGTATTAGGATTACAGAAGCAATAAAGCAAATTCTCAACATAATTAACTTAACCATCTCCAAAACCATAGAGTCAATTAAGGACAAATGCTTATTCTCATCGCTTCTCATCTGATTGAAACAGATTCAGTAAATTCAGTGATTTAGATGATGGAAAGAGTCTGAAAGTTGGTGGAAATTGATCTCAATGAGACTTTAATATTGAGCATCAATGTAAAGAAAATCAATCAAATTCATGCCAAAATCATATTCAGACACATATAATAACTGATTTAAAATGATTAACGTTTGATTGTTTTCACCAAAGACAATCGTCTCTATTGATAATTATATCAATTTGTCATTTGTCTTTGATAACCAATTTATCTGATATACTCACAAACCCAAATGACTACTGAAGTAAATTATCATTTCCACTCTATCAAAGTTGATTGAGAGGTTTAATTATCCTCAATCTTTTGACAATTGTTAATCAATTGTCAATTTTCATTAATTTCATTAGGAAATATCTAATCAATATTATCAATGAAACGAAGGCAACTTGTGTCAACCCAAGCAAAGAATAATTAATCGTGATTTTTACAACAAAACAATGGAAATCACCTGAAAGTGTCATGATTACACCGAGTGTTGTACATTCCCAACCTAATTAAGTCAATTTCTGTTTTTCTTTCTCAAATGTAAACATTTTCATCTCTGGTCATTTTTTTTATAACTTTTTTCCTTTTCTCTGATAATGTTTCTCTTGTCAATATTGTTATGATTGTGTCGATTATGCTGATTAAAACTTATTTGTAAATGAAAATAAAACTCCCAATGTGTCCATTGCGAATTCAGTTTGATGAAGGTACCAATTAATCAACTTCCTAAAAGAACATCGATTTGAATTTACTTTAAACGATGATAAGTTTTATTACCAAGTTCAACGAATACAATATTTACTGAGCTCATTTAAAGAGCTGCCATCGCTTTGGTTGGGTCAGCGACAAGAGAACCAGAATCAGAGACAATGCTTGATCCAATCATATTTTTCTCAGAATCTAGACAAGAATATCCAATTGATTATATGCCTTAATTGTCTCATCGATCGTCCTCGAAATCCACTTGGATTACAATTGGTTTTAATCCATTAGAAGATTTAGATTGATATTCACTCGAAACTTTATCCAATTTACTCTGTGTACGACCAACGATCGCGAAAAGTTTGATGATCAAATTTACGGTCGACCTGGTGAACGATATTGGACTCGAGGTGAAGAGGCTACATATTAATTTGATATTGATAATCGTTGTTGAAAATTTCGATGTTGATTTGTATTAACAGCGTTTAAGTTTCGCTAACGAAAACTTTACCAATCTTTTGACATCATGTATATTCAAACAATATACATTTATGTTCAATTTAACATTAAATAAGAGATTTTCATACTTAGAATCTTCTGAAATCATACTCGAATTGTACTGATTGAAATCATCTATCAATGCACAAAATTAGATTAAGGACGATTGGGTTATATTCTTGATGAAATTATTGTTTCCAGCATCATTATCATCACCCAAACAATCATTATCCATGCTACTGTTATGATGAACGGAACAAAAAGTCTAAAAGGAATACAGGAACAATCGAGCAAGAGGTCAAATCATCTCACAAACTCCAAAATCACAATCATAACCCTTGTGTCCAGATAATCCAACACATTAGGGGAACATTATCATCACCTCTCATCCTAATCAACTTAATCATCTCATCAGTTAATCTTACAATCAGTTGGAGAGGAAAAAAAAATTCTCTATTGTTCTTGGAGATGTGATAATGTCAATTACTCTTGTTTACTGATATTCTGTTGATACACTTGCAAAGGCACACAAATTGTCTCACTTTCAAAGTCTATGTTAGTGTTGATCACCCTAGTGGAACTGATTTTGTGAGTTTAGTGATTAAGGTGACGGAGAACAATTTAAAAGTAAATTAATTTCAACATTTGACGAAAAAGAGAAAAGAAAAGAAACTGAAAAAAGTGAAAATGATTCTAAACAACGGGAAAGGAGAGATAATAACATGAATGGTAATAAAACTAATAAGATAACTCAGAAAATGAGATTATCTGGAACTTTAATGATTCCATCTCATGATACATGTATCATTTTCTCAACACATTCATAGAAAAATTTTCATGAAATTATCCTTGTTTATTTTCATCAGTAAAAACAACGGAGGCCAATGTTTTGTGAGGATCAGCGACGAGCGAGCCAGAGTCAGAGACAACGATTGAACCTGTAATGTTTTTAGCAGCATCGGAGGCCAGAAAAGCGATCAACTGAGCGATGTCATCGGGAACACCAACTCTTTGTAACGGCATAGTAGTTGCCATGAGATCCCATAGAGAATTAGGATTTTCAATCTGATTTAAGAAATTGGTTCGAACTGGACCAGGATTAACGGAGTTGACACGAATCTCAGGTGACAGTAAAGAAGCCATTGACTTGGTAAACATGTCAAGTGCGGCTTTTGTCATACAGTAAGACCAAAAGGTTCCACTCTGATAATATAAATAAAACTAAATTTAGCGACACAGAAACAAAGAGTCACAACTAAGATGTAACTTACCATTCTAATACCAGCGATACTTGATACGTTTACGATTGACCCTTTAGCTCGAGCGAGATGATCTTTGGCCAATTTAGTCAATAAGATAACTGACCGTACATTTACTTGCATTACTCGATCATAATCTTCGAGATCACCTTCTTCGGCAAACCGTTTCTGACAAGCAACACCAGCATTGTTAACAAGAATATCCAATTGATTATAAGCTTTAATTGTCTCATCAAAAGTCCTCTTTACATCTTCATCTTTCTCGAAATCCGCTTGGATTACAATTGGTTTTAATCCATTAGGAGATTTAGATTGACATTCACTTGAAACTTTATCCAATTTACTTTGAGTCCGACCAACGATCGCGACCTTAGCACCAAGAGACGAAAACAGAATGGCCGTAGCAGCACCAATACCATCACTCGAACCAGTAATTAGAGCAACTTTACCTGTTAAGTTAATCATTTTCACTATGTAAATAAGCAAAACTTTTACAATCAAGAGTCAAATGAACGCCCAACAATTTAGTTGCAAGTAAACAATTAACTGAAATCTTTTAAATCTAACGATTAGTTTTCAAGTAAACAAGTTAATGCCATCTACATGTATGAGTTTTAATTGAAAATGATGCAAAATCAAGTCAAGATTACAGTTCATTCAAACTTGATCACCTTGGAATCTAATTGCTTATCTACCAACGTTTATTAATCGTCATCAAAATGATTTTATTTCAAAGTCTAATAAAAGTTAATCATATGATATTACGTTTAATTAAGTATGCCTTACATAATTAAGCAAATGATACTAAAATACAAATATTAAGAATCTATTGAACAAATAATCAATCATACAAATCAATTTATTATCAAAATCTTTTGATTTAGCATAATAGATGAACACCAATGTTCATGATTACTTGTGTGGATTGGCTATGAGAGTACCAGAATCAGAGACAACAATTGAACCTGTAATGTTTTTAGCAGCATCGGAGGCCAGAAAAGCGATCAACTGAGCGATGTCATCGGGAACACCGACTCGTTGTAAGGGCGTCTGTGTTTCCATGTGGTCCAGTAAAGATTTTGGATCTTCATGAGCATTCCAGAAGTTGCTTCGAACTGGACCAGGATTAACCGAGTTGACCCGAACTTCAGGTCCAAGTAAGGATGCCATTGATCGCGTGAACATATCGAGTGTTGCTTTGGACATACAATAAGACCAATGAGTACCACTCTAAAAGTTTTAAAAAGAAATGATAATCAGTGATTTTCCAGTGACCAGAATAATAACTTACCATTCTAATACTGGCGATACTTGAGACATTGATAATAGCACCTTTCGATTGAGTAAGATGATCTTTCGCTAATTTAGTCAATAGAACCACTGATCGGACATTGATCTGCATCACTCGATCATAATCTTCGAGAGCATCATCATCAGTAAAATTACTTTTTCGAGCAACACCAGCATTGTTCACAAGAATATCTAATTTATTATAAGCTTTAATTGTCTCATCAAAAGTCCTCTTTACATCTCCATCATTCTCGAAATCTGCTTGGATTACAATTGGTTTTAATCCATTAGGAGATTTAGATTGACATTCACTTGAAACTTTATCCAATTTACTTTGAGTCCGACCAACGATCGCGACCTTAGCACCAAGAGACGAAAACAGAATGGCCGTAGCAGCACCAATACCATCACTCGAACCAGTAATTAGAGCAACTTTACCCATTAGGTTAATCATTTTCAAATCGTTTGTTCAATTGTCGAAAAAAAAACTCAGATAATTAAGGAATTGAAATGTTCACCAGGAGAGTAACAATTAAAATGAATGTTTTATCAATGATATTTACCTTTTATTCATTCAAATCTCATTATAATTTTCAGCCCACTAATTAATTGAGATTAGTTCATTAGATCATAAACAAACAGTCAGGTTGTTTCGTTAATCAAATCTAATTAGATACAATGACTTTCAAACTGGTAAGAGAAACTCTAATTAGATTATTTAATTATCAAGCTAATTTTAATCTCGATCGCGTCACGGGATTATACAGGGTGATCAAAAAGTTCGTGTGAAAGGGAATGGGGGTCGAATCGAATTCAGAAATGTAAATGTTTGTCTGAGCATCTCTAACCCTTATTACCCCTCACACGAACTTTTGATCACCCTGTAATTTGGATCAATCGAGAAAAGATTAATCTCATCCTCGAGACTTGCAATTAAATTACCCTGTTAATTGTTTGATTATGATTAGTTTTACTTTCATAATCTAAGTTGATTAATTGCTAAGAACAATCGTAATTACTAAATTGTCAAGTACATTTGAACTTAACAACAAACAATTAACAATTTTTAGTATTATCTATGTGTATTTGATTAATTAGTTGATTTGGTTCGATGCTTTAAATTGTTATGATTGTTAATCTCATCAATCTTTTATTAATTTGGTATTGATCAACATTTAAGTGATTTTATTATTTGTGAAAATGTTTTTATAATTTGAATTAAACTCAATTGTAACGATTGAATTAAAAGCTTTCATAATCATTTACAAATGTCTATTATTGGGCTGATTAATTTTCAATCAATAACAATTTAAGTTTAAATAGATTTACAAATATCAGTTATGCATTTATATTGATTGAGAGAACAGCAATTAAATTAAATGACAAGAGGTGAAAGTTGTTTACAAAATATTAAGATAATTAACACCGAGAGAGAGAGAGAAAGGAGTTACAACAATTTAATTAATTGGATGTTTTTTTGGTAAACAATTAAGACTTGGTTGCCTTTTAGTTGATTGCAGTTGGTTAATTGTCAATAATTTCATCCTTGATTGGGAATAAAATTGTTTTTCCTTTATAATGGTTGAGGTTTTTTTTTCTCTTCGCGATTTAAATAAGAGTAAATTAAACAATATGCAGTTAATTGTCACAATTAATTACTCACACTACATTTGAGAGACTTTGATGAGGAAGATGATGATGACATTTACAATGAATGAAAATGGTAATTATAAATGTCAATGGTGATTGATGAGTTTGGATCAATCAAGTGATGAGATTAAAAAAGTTGCGATGTGACTTAAGGATTAATCATTGAGAGAGAGAGAGATTAACTCATCTTAGAAGATGGAATCAGGTAAATGATGACGAAAGAAGAAAAAACATCTAAATCTTGATACTTTTCTTTTCATAACCTATGGTCTTATTCTTTGGTGACAATGAACGAATCCTTTAAAAGAATTCTATGGAAAGATAATAATAGTTATCGTGTTCTATTAATATTAATAAGAATAGAATAATAATCAACTCTTTCCCTTTAATTGTCTCTTCATTGTTCACTGATTCTTCATGATATTATCTCTCCTTTTCCCGTTGTTTAGAATCATTTTCACTTTTTTCAGTTTCTTTTCTTTTCTCTTTTTCGTCAAATGTTGAAATTAATTTGCTTTTAAATTGTTCTCCGTCACCTTAATCACTAAACTCACAAAATCAGTTCCACTAGGGTGATCAACACTAACATAGACTTTGAAAGTGAGACAATTTGTGTGACTTTGCAAGTGTATCAACAGAATATCAGTTAAACAAGAGTAATTGACATCAAATCTCCAAGAACAATAGAGATTTTTTTTTCTTCACCAACTGATTGTAAGATTAACTGATGAGATGATTAAGTTGATTAGGATGAGAGGTGATGATAATGTTCCCCTAATGTGTTGGATTATCTGGACACAAGGGTTATGATTGTGATTTTGGAGTTTGTGAGATGATTTGACCTCTTGCTCGATTGTTCCTGTATTCCTTTTAGACTTTTTGTTCCGTTCATCTAAACAGTAGCATGGATAATGATTGTTTGGGTGATGATAATGATGCTGGAAACCAGAAATGGAGAGATAAATTTAGAATGAGAGAGAGAAATTGAAAATAGTTTCCTTTTCCTTATGTATCAGTAACTATTGTATTTGGTTTTACAAACGATTCTCTCTTTATATTTGATAATTTAGATTATTATAAAGTAGGTGATGGTTTTGGTGGGAACTGGTTGAGGTTCAATTATTACACATCGATGTATTTATATTGGAAATGATAAAATGTTGTATCATTAGCTTCAAGCTTAATTATCGATTGAAAGTAAACGATAAAATTAAGAGTAAGTTTGGTTATTCATTATTGCTCTTCGTTTAATCATAATCCAAATCGTTTCATATCAGGAAGAGGAGGATAAGGTCTTCGAGGCCAAACTTTAGATTTCTTTAGATTTTCTCCATCTTTTAGAACTTTTTCCATTTTAAGAAGATAGGGATAAATATTTTGTTCTATCCATTCATTCACCGTGAATTCATCGAAAGCTTCTCGAAGTGATGAGGATGCAGATCGAAGAGCAGAAGTCAACAAAAAGTGCACATTACTATGTTGTTCTAGCCCTTCGTCTACTCGATAAGGATTAGAAACATTATGACGCACATTATAGTCCGTTAGCCAGGCCTTGTGAATGGTCACATCGTAAATGTAATCGTTTACACGTTTAACGGCATCGGCGACAGTTTGTGTCATCTTGAAGATTGATGATCCAGGGAATAAGCAATTAGAGGCTCGATTGTACAAATAAGGATCCGATTCAAAGTCAAATCCATTGGTGTTTCCATTGTTTGAACCAATCATGTTACTTTCTTCACGGTAACCATATTGATTGTTATTGTTAGAGTATGAAGATGAAGATGAACATTTCATTATTTTGTCAAACTCTTTAAACACTTTGGTCACATCAAAGTGTCCATTTTTTAAGGTGATGAGATCAATGATGAGCGAAGGTAGTCCCGAAGGAAGGAGTTCACAAAGAGTACCCAAGTGATCGTACCTTTGCCAACCCGTCACCACGATTCCTCTGAAAGATTTAAAGTGTCCATGTTGCTCGGCCATCACTTCGAGCCAGCCCTCGTTGTTTTCCAGGTGCATCTTGACATTGGGCACTGTAAGGGTCTCACCAAAGGCTCCCTTAAAGGCACTTGCAGCCCAAACATTGTCAAAAGTGTCGGCAAAGTAGGTGAACGTTGGGTAGGGAATGAAACGATAAATGTCCTTGACATAAGTCCAGATCATCGGTTCGACCAGAGAACCAATTTTACTTTCCTTTAACCTTTCTGGTGACATGTTCCTCAACATATCGTCCCAAACGATGGGGATAACTGAGTGTTTAGACCTCACGTATTTGGCAACTTTAATTACATGATTAAGGAAAAGAGTGTCCCGATCGGAGTTTCGACATTTGTCACAATAGGCTATTTGAAAGACTTCATCACAACCAATGTGAAGCCATTTGATATTGGGATGAGCGGACATGATTTGATCGACCATTTGTTGGATGAGAAAAAAAGTTTCGTTTTGAGAAGGACACAAAGCCATTGGATATGGATCATATTCTCGAAGGTGCCGGAATTTGGGCGATTTAAGAACAAATTCCATGTGTCCAAAGGTCGGAATAAGAGGAATCACATCCAAACCAAGTTGTTCCGACGTCTTGAGTAACAGATCAATTTCTTGTTTCGTGTAAGCATTTTTTGCCGAGATATCACTTAAATAGCCTTCGTATGGGAACATGTCCTCATACTCAACGAGAATACCAGTGGCCCCGGCCTCTTTTACCAGTTCGAGTATCGACTTGAGGTAACTCATCTTTGGTGGGGCTCCTTTCAGGTCGAAGTGAACCAATCTAAATGGAGGAACATAATAACTGTTTCTCTCTCCGTCCTTTTTGATTCTTGAATTCTTATCTTCCGATGTAAATAAATGAGAATATTTTCCACCAAAAGATTCATAAGGAGCAGCGATTGATGAAGATGAAACTGGTGAATTTGATTGTCTTTTATCACTTGAATCTCCACCATCACTCAAGTTATTTGGATCATCTTCATCTCGTCTCTTTTCAATGTACTGATCTGATTTGTCTTTTTTATTGTTATACTCATTCTCATTCTCATTCTGATTGTGGTTGTTTTGTTATGATTAATATTTCCATTATCTAATCCAAGAGCTGATAGATTTCTCCTTGGTAATGATTGACTATCCTGAGAGTAGGAGTTTACATTATTCCTGGTTGAGTGTGGGTTGAATGAAGAAGAAGATATTTGAGGATCGAGACTGTTTCTCTTTGAATCAGAGACACTATTGTACTGAAGGGCGATCACGGTGAAAGATGCGACCATCACAATGGCCAAAAGTAACGGTTTCCTCTTCCATAGGGAGGTCAACATGTAATAACAAATTGGTCTCATTCACATGCGATCAATTAAACAAGAACCACCAAGTCTTTAACTCGATGGTCTTGTTTACACCTTTTAAATCAATCAAATCAATAAAATGGATGAAATCAACTCGATGGTCAACTGAAAACCAGAAAACACTGGTCACTTTGTCATAAAGGAGAGAACAAGACAATCAATAGAATTCAATGAATTTGGATAATAATAATTTAACCACATTTCAAGTCCTTTTGGTAAATACAATCAATTGGAACATTTTTTCATATCTTTGGTATTATTATAGAGAAACAAAAAGTAAATTCCTAAAGAAAGAGAGACACAGAGAGAGAGAAAATAATGAACAGAATTAGTTGAAATTATCAAGAGAGAAGAACAGAAATATTGAAGATCAAATAACAGAAAAAAATGGAAAAAATAATTAATCAAATACCCGAAAGGTAATCAAATTAATTCATATTTACCTTTTTTTTCCTTTGCAACAGCAGAAGAAGATGAAGAAAACAAATTGATTATTAGTCACTGGAATTGTAAGTCTGATCAAACAAAAGATGAATCAGAAAATTATAGACAATGAGATATCAATTCTCGAGTAGATTTTACTTTATCTACAGACAGAATAGTTCAATTGACGATAATCATAATCACCAGACAAACGAAGATTAGTTATCATGTTGATATAAATAAAGAGAAGCAAAAAAACAACAACAACAAAAGCAAAAATGGATAAGAGAGAGAAGAAAAAACCAAAACCAAAACAAAACCAAGAATAAGGAGATTAACCTGATCTGAGAAGCGAAAACAGATTAAACTGATTTCATTTAGAATTAATTAGCTCAAGTAATTAATCAATTGTGAGACTGTTGATTATCAAAAGTAAATCAAAATCAGATAGAAAGGTAACCGAAAAAATGGAAAACACAAACTGAAGTGGATAAGCTAAATTTAGGATTTTCTTTCACTCACTTGGCTCATTTCTCTCTCTCTCTCTCTCTTTGCTTTTCTCTTTCTTTTTCTCTGTCTATATTTAGAAAGAGGATGAAGACGCAGTTCCACTCTAATCATCTTCTCTGTCTAATTTATCATCATTCTCTTTCTTTCTAACCTTAATTTCTTTGACTGGACCCGTTATTTTATCTTCATCCTCATCTTCAAATATTAGATGATAAATATTACCTGATGAAAATTTCATTCTAATCAACTGTTAATCCAATTGTAGATCAACAATCATGATGATTAATGGAAAAATTAAATTGTAACAATTTAATTGCATCACAATTGAAAATAAATTGAACCATCATGTTATTATTATTACTCAACAACAATTAACTTTTTAATCACAACTTGGAAACCTTTCTGATGATTATGATTGTTATTTATTAACTTTTTGCTTTTATATGTTTAGTTAATCATTACAATTTAATTAACTGTTATTATACAATCAAAGTTGTTTAATTAATTCACTTGGTTAATTGTTTGTTTTGGTTTCTATGGTTTTGCTCAATTGGTATAAACATGAAAGTTAATTGTTGGAAATTCATTATTGGAAATCAATTTCAATTACTATTTACATAACAATTAGTTGGAAATATTTTTATTGATTTTCAACAATTAAACTGGAAAAATAATTTTAATCACAATTGAAATTGAAATGAAATTTTAATTGGCAATTAACTCAATGAATCCATAGTTGATTTTGTGCTGATGGAAACAATTAAATTGGTAGTTAATTGTATCCATTGATTAAAATGTTTCGTTTTTGATTAACTTTCACTTTTTTTTGATTCTCATCAACAATTAACAAAAGGTTATTACAATCAATGAGTCTTGTAAATTGTTTTTAATTGTTCATCCCCAAAGTAAATTAAAATTTAAAAAGCATAACAACAATTAAAAATCATCTTCGTGCAACCATAAAAGTACAATTTGTTAATTGTTGTATTGATCATGATGAAGATGATGATGATGATACTAATGATTGATTTAATTGTTAACCTTTTATTGTTATTTTCACCAATTGATTGAATGATTTATTGAAACAATCAATTGATTTCAAGTTAAATTGATTCTGATTGCAGGGCAATTAACTTTGAAATCATTTTCTAACAACAATTAAATTAAATTGACCTGATATTAAACTGACCTTCAAATTGTCAAGCAAACAATTAGTGACCATCATCAAGAAAATGTCATCAATGTAATTAGTGAACAATTAAACATTATCATTATTATGATTAACTGATTAGAGGAAAAATGAGATTAAATTAGCATGATTAGTTGATTGTTTCATTTTTAAGAATCAAATCTTTTGTTTTTAACAATTAGAGGAAAATGACATTTAATTTGATTGTGATTAACAAAAATTTCACTCTCTTAATATTAACAATTTAACTTTTTTTTTGTTAATTGTGTTTATGTGAATATATTTTAATGAATGTTTAATAAACTAATTGTGCTTGTAATTTAGTTAAAACTAAATTTTAATGATAAAACATTTAAGAGTTGGAAATTTGTAACATTATCAGCTAATTGTTGTTGGTTTAATTTATATTTTCATCTTCCTCATCATTTAATTGCTAATTGTTTACTACTAATTAGTACTTATACCTAATGGATAAGGTCAATTGTTACAAGGTTATCAAAGTTAATTGTTGTTCATTGGGTTCCTTTTAGGTGAAACAATTAATGTTAATTGATTTTTTCTTTACCATTGATTAGCAATTTAATTTGCGATTTTCCTTTTAAACAATTTGGACATTTGGGTTGAGAATAAGTTTAATTAGTTTCGTAATTAGATAAATTGTTGTTATTATTATTTAAGTAGTAGAATGATATAAATTAACAAATTTGTCAATGGTTGTAAATCAATTGGAGACAATTAAGATTCAAGATTGAACAGGGAAAACAATACAATTATAATTGACAATTTAGAAAACTCAATTACAATTTCATGAGTATCATTCTGGTGATTGTTCATAATTGTTCAGAACTTAGTTCAGAATTGATAATCGTTGACAAATTAGTACGATGAAAGAATAGGAAAAAAATATCTTGATGAATTTTTTTTTATGATTTTTGATTTGATGCTTGAGTCTAAAATTGGATAATAATTAACACAATGAATGAGAGCAAAAAAAGAGGATAATTAACAATAAAACAATCGCTAAATTGTTGTTGGTAATGAAAATATATTACAACGATGATGATAACGATTTGATAACAATCATAAACGCAAGAGAATCATGAAAATTATTCAAATTCAGAAATAATAATAATTCTGAATGGAAACGGAAATTATAATCTCTCTTGTTATGGATTATAATAAAACCGATATTGATAATCGTTTGTTATTATTTTTATCTGATTTTTTTTTCTGAAAGATTATCGTTAATTGTTACCATTTAAATTTGATGATTTCATTGAAAATTAGTAGTATTTGGATGGAGGTGAATCAGCTTTTGGTGCATCGGAATAGGTTCGGTATGGTTGCTCATGGGAAGCTTCATATGGAATCGGAGCTTCATAGTTGGAAGGCCCTGATGATGGATACCCTGTTCTGTACATACCGAGATAGGGTGAGACATGTTGCTTAGGTAATCTGATAGAGAATGAAAAAAGAACAAAAAAAATAGGCATTTAATGTGATTAACCGATTTCTATTATAATCGAAAAGAATAAAAAAAAAGTTCTGTCTTCTCAATTCAATCATCCGAATCTCTTTGGCTTTTTTTCAATACCAAAAGACAAGTGATTACGATTCTTTTAATGGTTATTCAACTTTACCATTGAACAACATCACAGATTTCACTCTATTGTTTCATCTAATTAACAATTAATTATTCTTACCTTTTGTAATTAGAATCATGATTACCATATGAACCAGCCTGTTGACCGTATTTACCATGTCCATGTTTACCATACTTATCATGGGCTCCATATTTGTCATTTTTATAATCACCATGTGAGGCAAGATCTTAATTAGTTGATTAATGAATTAGTTAAGAGATTAAAAGAAATTGAAATTTAATTAGAATTAGAATTAGAATCAGAGAAAGAGAAACAATTAAATTTCGTCTAAAAAAAAGGTAACATTGAAATTCATTGAAAGATTATTCTCATTAGAGTTTCAGTGAGATAATGTCAACTTTGATTCTTTGATTTTTTTAATTGTTGATAATTTTTTTCTTCTTCTTTCAGGTAAATAATAAGTAATTGTGTTGACAACTTACCATGTTGACCGTGTTCATCGTGGTGACCCTGATGACCTGATTGAGTTGCATGATCTGATCCATGCTCTTTGGTTGAAAACTGTCGTCAAGTTGACAAGTTAACAAGAAGAAGAAAACAAAAGTTAATGGAAAGAAACGAGAAACAAAACAAATTATTGTTACAATCAATTATCATCATTATTTCATTTTAAAGTGATGGTTAATTGTGTGAAGAGTAAGTAAATCTTGATGGTCATTATATTAATTTATCTAAATCATGTAATAATCATTTCGGTTAATAATAAGGTGAGTAAATTACAATGTGACCATCAATCTTATTTTCATCTCTCGATTCCCTTTGTTTTCACTTTTTTTTACATCAATCATGACAATTTGATTTCTTTTCATTCATCTCTCTCAGGACATCATCATCATCATCATCATCCACAATTTTGACCTCAAATGGATCTTGTTACGGTAGCGAAAATTGTATTCTATCAATTTGATGTTTTCTTTTTTTTTCATTTATTCATGGGACGAAGAGGAAACGCTTTTGTTTTTCGATATTCCAACTGAATTGATCAGAGATTATTGATCTGTTTGATTATATGAATTCGGGATCTTACCTCTTTGTCGTAAGCATAGTGTTTCTCATAACCATACCCTCGGTTTCGTGAGTAAAGGCCATAACCATGGTTACGGCCATAAGCGCCGCTTTGGGCTCCATCGGCTTTGTTTAAACCGTATTTGGAGTATTTTTTCAAGCCATGAGATCCTTGATTGTGATCACCATACTTGTCATGAGTTCCTGTTGAATTTTCAGTTTAATTTGAAGGAAGAGGGAAGAGCAAGATTGACGAACCAGAAAAAAAAGACAAGAGAAGACAATTAAAAAGATAAATCAACTGAATCAAAAGAGGATAATTATAAAGGAGAGATGGTAATCAATCAACAAACCATAATCATCGTGTCCATGAGCTCCATAGGAAGAATCATGTTTTCCATATGATCCATGAGATTGTTCATATTCTGGTGGTGGTAATGGATATCTTGACGAATAGGCTGTCTCAAGTGTCTTAAGGTCATTTCTAGCTTCCGTTAAGGTTAAGGTCACAATTAAAGCAACGATTGTCTAAAAAACAATGGTGTAACCAAATTGGAGAGAGAGAGAGTGAGGATCAATTTGATGGAAATGTATTAACAACTATTAACTCATATGATTTAATTGACAATCATAATCATTATGGTAATCAAATTGAACGAGTCTAATCAAACTTAATCAACTATTCAGAGTAAGGTAATTGATTTTACATTCGTAGTGAATTAGATAAGATTAACTTACCGATAGATACATTTTGTGGGGAAAATGTTGATAATTAACTGCACGATTGATAATCACCTTGGTTAATGGTAAAAAAAATTGTAATTAACTTGATCACAATAACACAATCACAATCAAATTTTGAATATAACCACAACTCTTAATGGTCGGTAATTGAAGGTTGATTAAAACAATAGGTCAACTATATAGTTTGATCATTAAGTTTTCAAATATGATTAACGAATTAACTTTTATCCTCAAACTTATTAGCACTTAATCAAAGTGGATAAATGAACCGATGGATTGTTCAGAACTTGTTGTAATCTCTCCGGTGAAATAATCAACAACAATCTGCGAACTAAGATATTGTTTCACTCTTTATATAAGACGGAAAATTGTGGTGACCGCCTTCACGAAAAGTTCAGAACTCGATGGTCACAATAATAAAGAGGAAAAAAAAGAGTATATATATTTGTATGTGAATGACGACGAGATGATGATGATGATGATGACGATGAAAATGATGATGATGACAAAGGTGATGTAATTTATTCATATTCATTAAGAAGATGTGGTCAAAACGTCTTGACTGGACATTCACATACAAGGGACACTCCTCCATTCGAACCTTTAATCGACGAATCAAGTGAAGAAAACAATGTCACCATTAGATGTAACAATGTAACTCGACTATTTATCCTCATCAATGATGACGAAGGTGGTGGTCAGTTAATATTATCATTATTTCCCTAATTAATTAAGCTTAGCCTTAGACCTCGTACTCAACACCAACTACTACAATTACAATTACGCTTAATTTACTTTCTCTTTAGTTATCAAATTTTCACTTAATCAAAACTTTTATCTTCTAACTAACGATTGTCCGAAACTGGTTCGTTCTCAAAACAATATTTTTCTTCTTCTTCGCCGAGAACGACCTTATTCTTGTGCTGGACGAACTTTAGAATTTATTAGGTAAACTAATTGTTCACGAAAATTGATAATGATAACAATTTAACTTTCGCTTTTCGTTTTTCGCTTCTCATCTCTCAGCTGATATTTTCTTTTTTCCCTTTCGTCCAGACTTGCTTGACCATCTCTCTCTCTCTCTCTCTCTCTCTCTCTCTCTCTCACGACGTGATGATACTGTCAACAAGCAGATTATATAAACACATTGTTATCACTTTTCATTGTCTTCTCGCTAATTAATCCTCTTAATCCGATGATTATTGTATTAACTTTCTCTTCATCTTCCATACTAATTGGTTACTCTTTTACCTTTTCTCTTTCTCTCACCTTTTAATTGTTGTCATCGTTTAACATTTCAGAATAATAATAATAATCGGATATCCATCAATTGATCACAATTAACTTAATTTCATCACGTAAAATCATCTTGGTTAAACAATCAAAACAAAATCTTCTTCTCATTCATCCGTTGGTCATCTTATATGTTAATTCAATTGAATTAATCATCATCTTTTATTTTCCTTGGTCATTCCCAGTATGTAAACAGAAAAAAAAGATTAACCGGAAGAGAAATCAAATAAAGTCATCATGTCAACCGGAAATCTTGATTCTCATTCATGAGAATCAACTGAATCATCAATTATACAAACCTACTAGAGTTACACAAAGCCAATAACCTTTTAGATTGACCCATAAGGTCAGTTTAAAGGTAAAACGATTAGTAGAATAATAATTAATTAATTGTCTAATTGTTGACACTTTTGTTTTTTCTCATTCATGGTCAGAATTGAATGAAAACAAAGTAATAATTTAATTTATTTGGTGAAAAAAACTCCAATAACAATTAAGATGACCAAAGTTTAGTTATTAAACATTTAAAGCAAATTTTAATTGATACTTTTAAATTATAGTCAACTGTTTATTATATTGTTGTAATAGTCTTGATGATTACTGTTAATATTTTTTGACAATTTAATTTGTTATCCATCATTGTATCATTTATAATGTCAAATAGTTTGTCAATGTTCAACTATTCAAAGTTAATTGTGATAATCAAGGTATCATCTGAATGAACACAAATCCATTGTTAATAATTGTTGTTTGTTATCCTTCATTTAAACATTGGCAATTTAATTGTTACCCAAACAAATCAACCTTAATCCCAATCCCATCACAGAGTTAAATGTTAACCTAGTAAATAGCAACATGATTATCGTTAATCATCATCATCGCTTTAATGATAACGTTACATCATGTCAAGGTTAGAGAGAGAGAGAGAGTCTCTTTGTTATCATCATGTTCATCATCAGAATCTAATAGAAAACATGATTACCTATTGATATACTTTTATCTTTCTCATGGAGGAAAAAATTTCTTTTCTTCAGAATTTTTTTCTTCTTCATCTTCAAAAATGATGTTTTCTTTTTTACTCAAGAAAATATCAAAATAAGAATAGGATGAGAATTAGAATGAAAAAGATAATGGAAGATAAATAAGATGTTATTGTTATTGTTATCTTCTTTCATGATTACAATATTATGTTTCAATGTGATTCATATGATTGAATAAGGTGATAACATTGAAAATATATTAATTCTTTAAAGTAAGGAAAAAAAAAAGGTAAATAAATAGACCCAAAAAGGAATCGTTATCATTGTTGTTGCTTTGTTGACCTGAGAAGATGTGAAAGAGAATTGGAAAAGTCAAGATGACCTTTCGGAAGATGCGGATGAAGATGCTCATTTTACATGTTCTTTCAAAACCGATAACCAGTAATGCATCAAATTTTCACACAAATAGATACTCATATTATCTCACCTTCTACCTGATAATCAACATTGATTGCCAGAATTTCTGATTCTTACTCAATTGTCTGTTGGTGAGATGAGGTTGTTGATGTATATTCATGATGAAAACACCCACTCGGTGTAAAAGAAGAAGATGAGGAAAGAAGAATTGAAAGAGAAGTTGTTCTTCGGTGATGGTGAAATAGAAAAAAAAATAGGAAGATGATGAAGAGCAAAAAGGTTCATCTAATTCAAATTTTCTTTCATCAATTTTCTTTGTTTCTCTTATACCTTTTGCTTATCATTTTGATATTTAATCATCAATTTGATTCCAACGGTGAAAATTCAACAAAAGAATTACCTCTTTTTCATCATCATCATCATCATTTAAATCATTCACTTGCTGGTAAATGATGATTATTCTGATGATGAAAAGAACCCAGGTAGTTGAATTCAGGTAATTTTATTGTTTTCTTTTTGGCAACAATAAAATAACGAGTTTCCTGAGATGATTATGTGGAAATGATTTATTCCAATCTCTCTCTCTCTCTCTCTCTCTCTCTTGATGGATTTACCTGGTTATCTTTTTTTTTGTATAGCAAATTATTCATTATTTCATGATCATCTTCTCAGGCCCTGTGAGTGTTTTTCATTGTTGGTTGATTTTTCATCTCTTCGCATCCTTAACATTAATGATATTGTTGATGTTTTGTCTTTAACTATCCTTAATTGTTGTTGTTTAAAAACCACGATAAATGAGATTACTTTGGATGAAAATAAATCGCTTGGTTAATCATAACACTTTTCTCATTGTCCAGTAAATTTTTATCATTGTTATTTATCACTCATGGAGAGACAATTAATATCTCACTTGATTTTGTTGTTGTTGTTGTTGTTGTTTATCCTCATCTTTTTGTCTTCTTTATTCACTTGAACAAATTTAATTTACTAAATCACTCCAATGATTATTAAATTGTTAGTTTCTCATTTTTTTTCCAATGGTAAAGAAAAACAATTCAATTTAGTTAATCGTATTCACTTTAAATCTTTACCCTTGTGTATCTCAATGATGAGAAGGTAAATCAAACTAATCTTGCGAAGAAGTTGTTTTCATTTGATTGTGAGAATTAATTCACTTTAGAATAGATTTTGATTGGAGTTAAATTCTCATTTAAAAGTTGCACTAAATTGTTTGTTTCGTAATCGACAAATTAGAAGCAATTTTTGTGAATGAAATTCAATAAGAATTGTAATTTGTTTTTCTCTAGTGAAACTTTCGTTTCAACGAAAAACTTATTTGTCTCAATTGACGTTTTCTCGCTTTGATTATCAACGAGTAATCAGTAATTAAAGTGTAAACAATAAGCAAATTAAGATTATCATTAGAAAGGTGAGAATTACAGATTAAATGATTGATTAGTTGGATGTTTTGAAAAAAGAAAGAAATTTGTTATTTAAATGTAATCAGATTGAAACAATTTAAACCAAAAGATTTTCTTTCGAGAAAATTACAAATAATCAATTGATCAATCAGTTACAATTAAAGATGGAAAATGGTTTGAAGGGCTCATTAAACGACAGTAGGATTAGGAAGTAGAATGTAGATTGAAGGGATTGAGAAAATTTGGCAAAATGGAAATGGAAAAGGGTAACAATGTCCCTACCCTTTGTGTCCACTAGGGAAGGTCAATATCACTCTCTTTCTTTTGCTGGGCCTCATACCAAGATTTGGCGATTGTCCTTTTCATCTCGTCATCACCTTCTTGGTACATTTTCTTCATCAAGCTCATAAGTGTCGCCGATGGGTCAGCATTATCATCAGGTCTTTCCTTTTCGTCGACTACTGTCACTGGTTTACTGTATTGGATGTTGGACCAATTTCCTTCTTTCTTTTTCTTCAAGTATAATATGATCTTTGATTTGGTTCGTTTGAAGTAACTTTCTTGGGTGTTTAATTTATCTGATAGTTTGGTCAGGGTGAATTTATAGCGACCAAAAATTACTTTAACAGAATTTTCATCGGCAAATGTTAACTTAATCTGTTCATCTTCAAATGGTTCCTTTATGGTGTCCAGGGAGAGATAAATCTTTATAAATTTGTCACTTTGATCCCAAGCAAAATTTGTCACCGAAGTTAATTCAGTCTCTGATAGTGTTGGAACAGAGATTTTTTTAACTTCTTTAGATGCCAATGATTTCTTTAAATTTTCCAATCTTGAAAGCTCATTAATTAACAATTTTCTCGTTGATTCTCTGGTTACATGATTGTCAAGAATACTTTTCACTTCAATGTAATCCAATTCAACCTGTGAACAAACAAAGAGAAATATATTTAAAAGAGAGAGAAAGAAAAGTAAACAATGGAGAGAGAGAGAAAAAATTGATTAGATTGTTTTTGCATTTAAAACAATAGAAAACAAAATAGAAACAAGAAAAAAACAGAGAGAGGGAGGTTATCAATCAGGAGAAATAAGAAAGGGTAACAAATGAGTCTAACACAATGAGAATCAATTAGAATTGAAAAAAGTGCAAATTTAAAACAATCAACCGATACACAAAATGGATGAAAAGAGTTGATTAAATAATGAAAGAAAACAAAGAGAAGAAAAAAATTCAAAACAAACCACATGAAGAAAATTATTGAACCAAATTGTATAGAAACTACTTACATTTTCCAATTCTTTCGGATCCATTACACTAATTGGAATTAGAATGACAAACTTTTACCAACTGAAATTCTCTGACAACTAATTAACTATTAATTTAAACTCAAGAATAAATTGTAAATAAAGACACGAGATTTTTCCAGAGAAAAAAAAGAAAATTGAAAAAAGAAAAACAAATGTGCTGACATCTGGTGAGAGAATTTGTTCCATTTGATATTCGAATGATTTTTTTTCTCTTCTGAGTTTAAATCGTTGATTATATAACTCGATTTATATAACAATTAATATCTAATTAATTCTCTGTCAGTTAAATCATCAATTATAAGTGAAAATTGATAAACATTTAGTTCCGTGAATCATCTAGAAAATTCATCTCGTGATCAACGTTTCAATGACCAGTCAACTTTCATGGTCAATCTCTGGTAACTGTATCTTTTTTTTTGTTTAATTTTGTTTATTTTTCTTCAGTAATTTACTAATTTTTGGTATTTTGATTCTTTTTTAATTGTTAATTAGGATTATTATCAGTTGAGTTTTTCTTCCATCTGTAAGCGGAATCCAATTGCTGTTTGTTTTTCTCTACTTTGAAGGTTTTCCCGTTTTTAGGTCCCTTTTAGCCCTTTGTTTACTATTAATTGTATGTTATTGTTTCTTATTTGAAACAATTATTGTTACACTTTTTCAGTTGTATTCTAATTGTTTGACAATATCTTGAATATTTTACTGACAAATGATGGACAGTCCATGGTTACCTTTTCTCTTTGTCATGTATCGCCCATTGATACCTTTACATGATATAAGTTGGTGGAAATGATTGTCTACCACCAATTTCTGATGATATTCAAATTCCAATTGTTTGATTGTTTTGTTTTTCTCAGTCACTTAAAAATTAACAATCAAAGTTATGACAGTTAATTGTCTCTCAGTTTGATGTGATTTTCTATCTGTCCACCTCCATTTTTACCAATAGAGAGAGAGAGCTACCATAAGTGATCAAAGGATTGTAGATTCAACCATAATTTTTGCCAACTTGGTATTTTATTCATAATTTATTTTATTCCTACCCAAACAATATAACCATTAATCACTTAATTTTGATCGATAGGTAAACATATTTCAGTGATGGAAAATTGTTTAATTGTTTTTCTCTTGAGTATTGTGTTCAATATTTCTCAAGCTTTACCAACCTCAAAGCAATTAATTTCACCTCGACAAGGAGATTATCATATTGGCTCAAGATATGATCCATTTAAGGAAGCAATTAACAGTGACCGTTTTCCAATCAATGGTGATAATAAAGATTCTGGAGGTAAATTAATTAGTCCAGCACTTAGATCTCCATCTTTACTCCCATGGGAAGATGATCCAGAAATTGGTTATGTAACAGAAAGACAACCAGAAACAACCAAATCTTCAACTTCATCTGAATTATTAACTTCATCAACTTCATCTTCTTTATCACCATCACCATCTTCCCAATCAACAACAATAACGTCAACTCCGATTTCATCAACTGTAAGTTTACTTCCCTGGGAAGACGATTCTTGGCAATTATTTACAACAGTTAAATCAAATTCAACACTCACTCTGATTACAGGACCATCGACCTGGAGGACACCATATATTATAACTGAAGGTTCAACTCATCCAATAACAACGACTAAATTATCAACGACCAATACGATTACAAGCTCATCAACATGGAAAACTCCTGAGATGATCAAAGTTACCAGTTCTACTACTAACAAACCATCAACAATTATTTCATCTACAACAACACCAACACCAACATCAACTTTAGGAACAACTTATTCACCTTTACCATGGGAAGAGGATTATTTTGACATCATAAACAATAAACCAACTCAGGTATTGACCATTAACATTGATCATTTGGAGATATTTTTTCGGCTCAAAAAGTAACATTTTTTTTATACATTTAATTTCTTTCAGGCTCAACCTACATTTAAGCCTTTTGATCCACCAACAACAATCAAATTAACATCAACTACAACATCTAAAGCTCCAATTATAATTACTACCACTACTCAATCAGTTCCCATCAATGGTAATGACGATGAACCCATTTTCAATTTAATTCAGTTTAGACCAGTTCTACAAAATGATCCAAACTGGCCAAAATTTCCCTCCAAATTTCCAACAACCAAAAAATTTAATTCTAGATACATAAATCACCATTAATCCAGTTTTAATCTTGACTACAACAATTAACCTTCACCCTTTAACTAATAACATTTGTTTGGTTAACATTCAGACTCCTAACACTTTTAACACCAACAACAACAGATTAACTCAACTAACTAAATTTATACCGATCAATAATTACTCAACTATTCATTTATTGTAATGAGTAAAAAAAACTAATTCAATCAATTCCACTACAATTTGATGAACTAAAAAAGTTTTCATCAAGATGAAAATATCGATACATCGAACTACAGTTCGAACTTCACCTGATAGATGGCGTTGAAACTCGCACGTGTTTTTAAATGTCTGGAAAAAAATGTTTTCCTAATTGAAGATAAATTCAATTAAATTGTTGATACTTTTTTGTTCAATTTGAACACGTTTTTTTCTTACAATTTGGATTTTTTGTCAATAATATTTTCTGATAACTTAAATTCTTTCTACCTCAGTGAATTCTATTGTTCTCCAAGATGGTTGTTTTTGTTTGTGGTTCTTGTAATGAATCGTTGAAAAAAAATTCAGTCTCATTACATTTAAATCGGTGTCGAGCTCCGGTAATCTCTTGCTGTGATTGTAATAAAGAATTTACTGATAATTCTTACCAGAGTCATAATCAATGTATCTCAGAGGATTCCAAGTATGGCCCTGAGTCTCAAAGAGTATATGGTAATAATGATAAAGGAAAACTTAAACAAGACGTTTGGCTAAACAAGATCAAAGAAACTCTGAAAACGATGAAACTCTCAGGAAGAGCTGAGATGGCTTTAAATAGGCTACTTGAATATCCCAACATACCTCGGAAGCAGAGTAAATTTGAAAATTTTGCCAATAGCTGTTTACAAATCAACTCACCTGATTTAATTGGTCAATTATGGAGTATCTGTGATTCAGCTAATAAAGCAGTCGCTGGTGGAGAGACAAAACCGGTGGAAAATAAAGCTCAAGCTCAGCCGAAAGAAACAACTTCACCTAATGATGGAGTAAAAGAAGATTCAAAGAGTAATAAAAAAGAGAAAAAGAAGAAAATGAAGAAAAATGAAGAAGAAACTGAATCTGGAATTTCGGCTGATAAAGAAGAGAAAAGTGAAGAGCCAAATGAGACTCAAGGTACAGAAAGTTCTGGACAAAATAATGGAATTGGTGACAATGTAAAGAAATCCAAGAAAAAGATGAAACAAGTTAATAAGGAGGAGAATCAAGAGACACAGGAAACGAATGGTGATGAAAAAGACAAAATGGAAACTGAACAAACTGAGAAAACTAATTCAATTACAGAACCTGAACCCAAGTTGGATGAAGAAATGGTGGAAAATGAAGGTGATAAGTCAAAGAAAAAGTTGAAGAAAAAAAAGAAACGAAATCATTCGGAGACAGAGGAAAATGACCAATCCAATGGTCAAGTAAATGGCGATTCCAATGGAAATGCAAATGAAAATGGTCAAAGGAAAAAGAGCAAACCGGATGAGGAAGTAGAGTCAACCCTTGATGAAAAGATAGAACAAGATCTAAATACAATTGAAGGAATGATTAACGAATTGAAAAATGATCCCGATAATCAAATTAGTTGGTTTAAGCAGTTGAAACGGCAAATCAAAGAAAAAGAAACCGTTGATCTGAAAGATTTCAAGAAGATGATTAAGAAACTGAAAAAAGAGTATGAATTAAAAGAGGAATTTACTGATTTAATTGCTAAAGCTAAGACGAAATTAATGAAGCGACATAATTACTCAGTTTCCGAAGGACAAATTCAGTATAAACATTTATTCTGATGATTTAAATGAGTAAATAATTTATTTTGTTAAAAGTTTATCGACACGACTCAACAATTAAATGTTGACTTTGTTAACTAAAAATATTGATTAATCAGTTATGTTGTAATTAAACTATTTCTCTGTATCGTTAAATGTAACAAATCAATCAAACTAACGAAAATTAATGTTAAACTTGATCAATAAGTTGATAATGACGAACAAAATTGATTAAGTTAACAATTAACAATCTTTTTGGAAAATTAAACAATCCTTTTGCAAGACAAATGATTTAAGAAATTACAATTAAATTTACAATCACTGGATATTAAAAGGATTAATTAAGATAAATTCAAATGTAATTTACCCTCAATATCCTCTGATTGTTAATTGTTTCTCGTTAATTTAATTGTAATTTCTTTTGGTTTCCAGATTTTTTACTAATCAGTTGATTTCGTTTTAATCTCCAATGGATCCACCATGTGATTCTGATAAATACTCATTGGTTTCTGGTGAAAATTTACCACAACAATCATCACAACCTATTCCTGGACCAAGTAATCAAATAACTATATCATCTTCCCAATCATCATCTTATTCAGCCAACAATCAAGATGAACTATTGGCCATAGCGTTGAATTTAAAGGCTGGAATTGAGCATCTTCGTAACAATTTGGATACAATTAAAAGTTCAGCTTCCAATGTAGATCAATTATTGGCGATAATTACCAAATTCTCAACACATATTGATCATGTTAATCTAATCATCGGAAAGGAAATTAATCGTATATTATATTTAACAGCTTCGCCCCATCGGTCAAGTACTTTCGCCCTTCCCCATCAAATTGTGTCCAAACCAATGACCACCGAAACCACTGTGATCACCAAAGGCCAAAAGAAATTAAAATTAACACCAAATGATTTACTATCAACTGAATCAATGATGCCATCAACCAGTAGTCAAGTAAATCAACCAATTGATGAAAATTCTGATTCTGATTCCGATGATTTTGGCTTCTGTATAGACGATACAGTTGAAAGTGATTAAGACAAATAATAAATAAAACAATTCACTTACCTGATTAACCAGCAGCAATTAAAACAACAGTTAATTGCCAAGTTGTAACCATTAACCTGTTTCCTTAACAGTCTATTAAACAAATCACATAGTCAAGTGATTAACTAACACATTCCAGTAATTAAACAATCAATGTCTACCCTGTAATAAGTGAATTAAGAGACAATTAAAAGTAATTGAGTAAAAACTGTTTTCCTTTTTGTTTTTCCCTTACAAATTATCATAATCACTTTTCCCTTGGTAATTGTATAAACAAAATTGTCGATCATGTGAAGACACAAACATTAAATTAGTTACTAAATTAGTTGATTGTTCACTTATTATTATGTTATCACTTTTATCACAACAATTAACTCGCTTAGTTACTCAGGTAAATGAATTAAATATTTTCTCCATTTTTGTTAGAAAAGAATAGAACAAAAAGAAAGACAAATGTTAAGACTAATCGATTCTCTTTCTATGTAATAATTTTTTCTTTCTTTTCCAATCACATGTTAGATTTTTCTTTCTCTCATTTAATGTTTTCATTTCTTTGTGTTAACTTGATTATAGATTTTAATTAGAATTAATTGTTTAATCGTCAATTAAGGTGAGTCGATTGTGGTTTCTAATTCTAATTCTAATCAATTGGAATTACAATTGAATTTCTTTTTGTTCTTCTTCTCTTAAAGTCTTTGGTTTGTTTTCCTTTTGTCTCTTCATCTGGTTTTCTATTTATTCTTATGGCTCCAATTTAGTAATTTGATTTGTTTCCCTTTTTCCTTTAAATTAATTTTAATTGTTCAGTGTCAACTTTTTACCCTTCATTTGTCCTTTAATTATTGATGCAAGAAATTTAATCGTTTTGATTAACCAAAATTTTGGATGTTTGGTTTAGAATATATTCTCATTTGAATAATTGTTTTTCTTTTCCTTTTTTCATTCTTCAAGAGATCACAAGTAATTTTATTCTCAATTCCATCTAATCAATTGATTCGTTCATTGTCAGTGGTAAATAAAATGGAATTTAAGTATCCCAAACCTCGTCGAGATGATTCTATCATTGAAAATCTTCATGGAGTCATGGTAAGTTTAATAATCTTCTCATTAAACTAATTACATAATGTAAACATTTTCTGTTGCTAAGGTTAAAGATCCGTACAGATACTTAGAGGAACCCGATTCTGAGGAGACCAAGAACTTTGTCCATGAGCAAAATAAAGTGACCTCCGCTTACATCAATCAATGTGATATCAAGGATAAAATCAGTGAAAAGTTAGTCACCAGACCGAATGACAATTAAATCATATAACTGACCTGTTGTTGTTGTTTTTTTTTCCTAATATTTTCTTTATTGTGTCAACCATTTTATCCTATATTTTAGGTTGAAGCTTTTATTGGACTACCCAAGGTATCGTTGCCCATCTAAACATGGATCTAAATATTTTTTCCGTAAAAACGATGGCCTTCAAAATCAATATGTCATCTATATTCAAGATTCATTGGATGCTGAGCCTAAAGTTTTCCTTGATCCTAATATGATGGACAAAGATGGTTTAGTTTCCGTTGATAGTCTTAATTTCTCGGAAAATGGCGATTGGGTTGCCTACAGTCTTGCCGATTCTGGATCGGACTGGAGACGAATTAAAGTTCGAAACGTTGCCACTGGACTCGATTCTGATGAAACGTTACTTTTCTGCAAGTATACATTCACCTCCTGGACTCACGATAATAAAGGTTTCTTTTATTCGGTAAATAATATTACAGATTTTATAAAGACGATTTTGATTTATCTAATTGTTCTCTTCGATTTCTGTTTCCATTTTAGCGCTACCCTAAACAAGACAATTTTGACGGCTCAGAAAATGATAAATGTCTTAATCAGAAAATGTATTATCATAGAGTTGGTACACCACAAGATGAGGATGTCCTTGTGGTTGAATTTATTGATCAACCAGAGAGCACAGTGTATGTAATATTTGACACTTTAGCGGAGTTAATGATTAACTAACATCTCTCTCTTTCTCTTTTTCTTAGTTCCGGTGTGGTCAGTGACTGTGGAAAATATTTGTTCGTATTCTCATCTGAATCTTGTAAAAACAACACTTTTTACTATGCTCATTTGGATGGAGATTTAAAAGGCAAACTTGTCTTAAAGCCGATAATTGACAAATATGAGGCTGATTACGAGTTCATTGCCAATGATGGTCCACTTGTCTATTTTAAAACTGATCGTAATGCTTCAAACAATAGGATTATCAGGATTAATTTAGATGAACCGGACGAGAAAAATTGGATCAACATTGTTCCCGAACACGAGAAAAATGTTCTCAATACAGCAATTTGCGTGGACGGTGATAAATTAATTACTATCTACACTGAAGATGTGATCGATGCGATTCAATTTCGATCTCTTCAAGATGGTAAAATACTATTCAAGCCGAAAATACCGATCGGCTCTATAGTCCAAATAACTGGAAAACGAACTCAAAGTCAAATATTTTTCCAAATACAAAACTTTCTCTCTCCTGGTATAACTTACAGATATGATTTCAAACAAGATTCTGATATTTCTGTAAGTTTTTTTCTTTTCAACTTCTATTATCCATTATTGTAAATTATTCTCATTTTTATTAATATTGACAGATATTCAGAGAAACTCCAGTAAAAGGATTCGATGCCTCACAAATTGAGATGAAACAAGTTTTCTATCCTTCTAAAGATGGAACTTTAATACCAATGTTTATCCTTCATTCTAAGGTTAGAAATCGATTCGATATTCACCCACGAACTAGTCTAATGTTCAAATCAATAATTATTATTTTTACTTAGGATTTTAAACAAGACGGTGAAAGTCCATGTCTCCTCTATGGCTATGGAGGATTTAATATAACCCTTTCTCCCAGTTACTCTCCTACTCGTCTATTGTGGGTACAAAACTTCAAGGGTATTTTCGCCATTGCTAATCTACGAGGTGGAGCGTAAGTGTTCAATATCGAGTGTGTGTTTACATGTATCATCTTCATCTTCATCTTCATATCTTCTTGATTTAACAGAGAGTATGGTGAGAAATGGCATAAAGCTGGAAGCTTGGAGAACAAGCAAAATGTATTTGATGATTTTATTTCTGCTGCTGAATATTTGATTGAATCTAAATACACCAACAAGAAAAAGTAATTGATTAAATTGGATCGAAAACTCGTCAACAATAATACTAATGGTGAATTTTTCTTTACAGAATCGTAATCGAAGGAGGATCAAATGGTGGACTATTGGTCGCTGCTTGTGCTAACCAACGACCTGATCTATTTACTGCAGCAATTTGTGTTGTTGGGTAAACAATTTACCTTCCATAAATTGATTTGAATTGTGTTATAAATCTAATTAATGATAAATATTTATTAATATTTTTTCTCAGTGTCTTAGATTCACTTCGTTTCCATAAATTTGGTATTGGTAAATTTTGGACTAGTGATTATGGTAATCCTGATGATGAAAAGGATTTCAAAGTTTTAATCAAGTATGTTTAATCTGAAAGAAAACCCAATCAGTCAACCATCATCAACTTATTGCTATTTAATGATCATACAATTTACCTTTTTTTTTATTATCATCCATTTTTAGATACTCTCCCTTGCATAATATTCCCCTTGGAAGTGAAGTTTATCCCAAGATGTTACTTTGCACCGGAGATCATGATGATCGTGTTGCTCCTCTTCATACCCTTAAATTTGTTGCGGAATTACAACATTCCCTTAATCTAAAGGGAACTCCTCTATTAGCTCGGATTGAAGTTAACGCTGGACATGGAGCTTCAAAACCAATCAACAAACAGGTAACATTTTATTCAAATGAAAAGCTTATTAATGTGATGACATGATGACCATCATTATCATCACCATTATAATCAACTCATGTGTTATTTATAGTCCCTTATAAAATATAACGTGTTCATATCACACACACACTCACTTATTCATATATTAATACATGTATTTATATGAATTTTCAACACTCTTTTTTTACCTCTCTTCTTAATTATCTTGATTACTTGTTAATTCACACACACTAATGGCCACTTTTCCCCTTTTTTTCATGTTCGTGTTTTTTATTCATCATAATTACTACAGATTGCGGAACGAACGGACATTTATTCCTTCATCAAGCTCGCACTTGATTTACCATATTATGAATAAATTGGATTATTATTTATGACCAAAGTTCATTTTCTCATAACAATATAATTACAGACTCGAATATTGTCTGATCAACTTTAATAATCTACCAGGTTGATCAATGGAAATCAATCAACTTTATATATTTATGATTAAAATAATACGAGATCATTTTCACAGTAAAAAGAGATGGCATTTATTATAGATTTTTTTTTCTGTTTCTTTGATTGTAACAATTAATGAGAATCACAAAAGTAACAATTAGGTGAAGATGAAGATGATTGAAAAAGGTGATGAGGATGAAAAAACAACGAAAGTTGTTAACAAATTGTTTAAATCTCAAGGAGAAATTGTTGAAATTTATCATTTTCTTACTTGGAAGAAAAAGTTTTTCTTATTAATTTATATATATTATTAAAAGTGAAACAACATTGTACAATTAAATGATGACGATGATGATGGTAAACAATTAACTCAATGATTAAGAGATGAAGATGAATGACGATGAATAAAATAACAATTATTAATACAGTTAATGAGGAGATTTGTAAAAAAAAAGTGACGGAATTACAATCAGCCGGTGGTTGTTAATATTAATTATAATTGTTATGCTGATGGTCTGATTGTTGTGATTGGAGTTGATGATTCTGTTGATTTATCATGTTGACTGGTTAAAAATGATGGTGGTGTTGTTAATTGGTCATCTGATGATGATGATGATGATGATGGTGTTAAAGTAGCAACAATTGGTACCTTGTTAATTGTTGAAGGTGGTGAATTGGGTGTTGTTATTGTTGTAATTGTTGTTGGTGAGGTTGTTGTTGTTGTTGTTGTAGTTGTTGTCTTAATTAATTCATCATCATTAATATTATAACTTTCTTCAATTAGTGATGGATGATTAAAATAATCATTATTATTATATTTACTTGAGAGACTATTCCTACTGTTTGATTGTTGATAATTATTACTATTACTATTTACATTACTATTAACACTATTTAATTGATTATTATTAACATTAAGCTGATTGTTGTTGTTGTTAATTTTACTTTTAACTGGATTGATTGATAATGAGGGATGAATGTAGGTTCCAATTGGGATTGAAGGTGAAGCTGATTGTTTAGCTGAACCAGAGACTCGATCGTGAATTGTGAACTTAATCAATCGGGTATCGGGTGTGTAAAATGCTGATCGATAGGCACCAGGACTCCAATGTTTACTATTCTTTGGAATCCAACCATTGTGAACGGGTGAAAGTGGAACATGTTCATTAACGGTAAATGGACTTGAAGAAAATGAGTTATCACGAATGGACGAAGTGGCCTGAAGATAATCACCGGAAGGACCATGGTGATAGCCTTTAGGTTCAGTTGTGTCTCGATAATAATAAGTTCGAGGTATCTCTTCAATAGCCTCGGCAATTGATTCCGCTGTTTGAATGGGTCCATTTAAAGTGTTGAAATTATTGTTAATCTGATTATTAGTATTTCCAATTGAATTACCAATATGATTATTGACATTGTTACCATTTTGATTGTCACTTGATTCAATTAAAATCTCATCGGGTGTTGATTCCGTTTGCTCTGAACTAAACACACACACACATGATAATTAGTAAATTATAATTATATAATATAAGAAAAAAAAACAAAAAATTAGAAACAAAAAAATTAAAAGGTGATAAGTTTTAAATGGTCACTTTGATTGGGGTCAAAATCATTTTCATGGTTAACTAAATGATCAAGATGATCAGCTGATAATGTTTAATTTTTGTTCTCTTCTTTCGGATAAATTTAAACACCAATTATCAGCGTAGTTAACAAAACTACAACAAAATTAACTTTAATTTGGTCTCTATTTTCCTACTAATCAACGAAAATCAGCTTAAAATTATCTCTCATCAGAATTAAAATCAAAAATAATTAGAAGAAAAAAGAAGAAATTTTTTTCTTATTATCTCTCAAAATAATGTATATTTGTTAATGATGTTAATCACTATTAATAAACTATTATCAACAATTTATCAGGGAATTTAAATTGTTCATAATAATAATAATAACTATTATTCAACCATCAACACGTCAAGTTAATCACAATAAGTGATAATATAACTCAAAGGTGAAATCTCATGTTGAGTGAATTAATCATTCTGATCATTATTATTACAATCAAATGATTATGTACAATCAAATCTAATGATTACTATTAACAAAGATGAAACAAATTAATTAACTAAGCTTTTCAATCAACAGGTAATAACAATAAAATAGACAGTAAAAAGATAAACGTTGATTGATAAACAATCAATGAAACTATTGTGAAAATATTACAATATAAATACAATAATAATACTTTTCATGGTTAAGAAGTGACAATCAATTAATTGGTTAGTAAATTGTCACTTTACACTCAAAACTACACACAATTAGAAAGAAAAAGAAAAACAATAATTGAACTAATTATCTGTCAATTTTTATTTTTCTTTCCATAATTTGATTAACTATACAATATAATATAATATTACATCGTAACAATTTAATGTCATATTATATGTTGTATCATTATTACACTTGGGGCAATCATTTGATTGCTACAATTTACTTTTTTTTTGTTTGCTAACCAACTGATTAACTAACTGTTATTATCAAACATAATCGTTTGTCACACCCAGTTTTTTTTCTGGCCTGACATTGGCCGTCAATAGCCTGCGGCAATTTCATCATAATCAATACAATATATGTATGAAAGAAGCAAGAAATTTAATTTCACAATTTCACCTTAAAAACAACAGCACCAAGACTAATGGTTAATGACCATTGATTATAATGATTATAATAATGATGATAATCAACTGTTGGGTTAACGGTAAATTGGCCTCATTTGGTTTTAACAAATGCGCTCATTTTTCATCATCATCATCATCTGATTAAAGGACACAAACTGATCTGGATGAGCAACAAAAAAAAAGGGATGCAGATGAAGATACTGATTGTGATGATGATGATGATGATGATGATGATGAGTTTCTGATCATGATGCTGATCATCATGATCATTGGGATAACAAACAAGTTACAAGATAAATAAAGATGAAGGTTAAAACTGATCTAGTTTAGGATTTAAACTGTTGTTGATTGATGAACAGGTAAATTATTGACTTAAAACTTATTGGATTATCAGGTAAACTAATAAAAAATTAAGTGTTAACATTAAATAATTGGTTAAATTACTTTTTTCATACATTTGATTGTCTCATTATTATTGTTAATCATATTTTCATTTGTATCATTGTGATTGATGTTTTTTAACCATTTCAAGTTGTTGTTGATTATATTAGCTGGTAATTAGTTAATTATTCAATTATATTAACTTGTAATCAATTCTCGGTTTGGGAATAATTTAATCGCCTACACACATAAAGAGTTAATATTGTTAATTGTTACATCTTATTGGGGATTTTTGTGTTAATCTTAATTAAGATTATCATGGTTAATATAATTGAAAGGTAAATGGTTTGATATATAAAGTGTAATTAATGTTGGATTAATTTATGATTAAAAGTTGCTAATTTTGGTTTTGGCTTATTATCATTATTATTAGTAAATAATAATAATTTTAATTGCTACCTAATCACTAAAAATATCAACATCTGATTGATTTTCAAGCTTCTTAATTGTATTAAAATGGTTGATTAATATATTTTTTTTATCTTTTGCTGGTTTTGGAGAGATTAATTTTATTAGTTGATTAAAAGTTAAGAAAGTTAATTAAATGGATCAAATTAACTCACTTTTATCTAAAATTCATTATTTAATCTTGTAATTTGTGTGAATCGATTGAGATTATTAAATCTTTTAATATCTATTGATTGTTAATTGGAAAAAGAAACTTCAATCATGTTAACTGGAAGCGTTTAATTTAATTTGATTAACGCTGTTAAATTGTTGTTAACCAATATTTACACAAAATTGGTATTAGATTAATTTTCTCTTTGATTGTTTGCTTCAATTGATTGGTAATTATCATTTCTTTTCGTAACTGTTTACAATTAACTATTAATAGAGACGATTATTTAACTTTGGGCTTTTTTTTGCTCGTTTCATGATCAATAATCTTTAACCAAGTGAATGTTAATTGTTAGCAAATTTAGAAATCATATTTGAATCATTAGATGATTAGCAATTTTCTATTGTGATTAATGGATTAAACTTACGTGTTAATGATGATATTTTCATTTGGAAAAGGTGATTCTGAGAAAGGTGAGGTTCCATCAAGATCAATGGCACTTGGAACTTCAATGAATGCGTATTTATCTGATTGTGATTGGGGACCAGACGAGGGTGAATTAGGTGATGGTGATGATTGTTGCTGTTGTGATGGTGGTGGTGGTGAAGATAAAATTGAGCCCGAAGAATGAGGTTGAGATGGGTAACGTGAACGTGATGTTAGTGAGGATAAACTTTTGGCAAAACTGGTTGAACCTTTGGTTGATTTAGAATTGAGAAGTCGCCATATTAATTGTCCAGGTTTACTTGAATACTCTTCTGGGGCGGTAAGTAAAATGGAAGGTTTAATTTTAGGGCCTGATGGTCCGTCTTTCGTCAAGAGGAAAGCTTTAAGGCCTGGCATTGATTGGATACGATCTTTAACTGCTCGCAAAATTTTTGGAATCTGAGAGATGTCTTTCAATTCAGTGATGGTCATCTCGGGTTTAGATGGTCGTTGACCAAGTTGACGATTGTGTCGATGAGGTGGAGGCGGTGGTGGTGGTGGTGGTGGTGGTGAAGAATGAGGTCCACGAAGTGATCCACTACCGGGAAGAACTCTAATCTCTTGGGCAGCCGATTCGAGAACATCAAGAAATCCAGGTTCAGCTCTAGATCCACGGAATAAAGAGGGACGACGTTCAAGGAATGAAATTGGTGCCAGGGAAGAGATAATAGAAGAAGAGGGTCCAGATGATGGTGAAGAATGTGACTGAGGTGGATTAGGCCAAAAACGACGGATTAAAGATGATCCAACATTTGAATTACCATTGGAGGAAAGGAGTCCTGGTGTTGTTGAAGATGAGGGACCAGAAAGTTGCTGATTATGGTGATGGTGCTGTTGATAATGTGATGGTTGTTGTAGATTACGCCGGGCAACTGCTGTTGGATGACCATGACTTAATCCACCATTTGTTGATGATGAAGATGGTACATAATGATGAGTGGAAATAGATTGATGATATTGGCGGTTCAATGATGATGATGATGGTGGTGATGATGATGTGAGGTTAGATGATTGATGAGACTCCACACGTAACAGGCTTCCCGTTGAAAGTAAAAGTACCAAAGTTATTAACATGATTTGTACCTAAAAAATGAAACAACAAAAAAATGAAAGAGAATAAAAAATAATCAGATTAACGGATAAATAGAAAAGAAAAATTCAAACTGATAAAATTTGAAAAAGAATAGAAAATGAAAACAATTTCAATTAGTACATTTTCCCTCAAACGAATCAGCTGATTTTTCCTCCAATTAGCTAATTGATTTAATTGTTTCTCTCTTTTTAATTGTTCTTGTTACTAATTTAATTCTGTTAATTAGTATTGTTTTTTCTAAAAGTATGTATATCAAAAATCTCCAATTCAGGTGAGTGATTCTTTTTTTTACTTGTTTTCCATTTTGTTACCACCAATGAAAAGAAAACACCTTAAGGGGTTCAAAGGGTTTTCTTTTCTTAGATACAATTGTAATTAATTTTTCTTTCTTTTTCTATTTATGGTTATTGATTAATATTTTAATTGTTTTCCATCTTGATTGGATAAGAGAGAGAACAATATAATTATCGGAAATTAAACAAGGTAATTATATCTTTTGGTTGGGGTATATGAATGTTATTCATCCAATGTATTAGCTCATTTTGATATCACTTGTAAGAGTAACATTATTGCCCTTAAGATGTTCACAACCTTTTTTTGTTTAAATATATACTCTTTATAAAAGAGTAAACTATTATTATTGTTATTAATATCATCATCATTAAATACTCTATCATCAGAGTTTTATCAGTAAATTACAATAATCAAAATGTTAAATCAATAAATAAATGGTAAGTTGATATATTCCCCACCCGATAATAGTAATGATAATAAGTTAATCGCTTATGTATTAATCTTGTTTCTCTTCATCTATTCACAGTTTTATCCAAAAATCAAATCAAAACCAAATACAACATCTTAATCGTACTAATGGTTGACAATTTTTACATTTGACCTGGAATTTGAAACACCATTTATAATGTTCAATCGGCATTTACATTCATTTATCAATATTGGAAAATTTCATCATCATCATCTTGAAATATCATTTGGAATGTGTCCCTCTCTTAATGATAATAGTAATTATCGTTATTCAATAACATTATCTTCATCTCTCTTCAATGTGATTTACTGATTGTTGTGTTTTGTTTCATTCGGTATCTTCATCACCATCATCATCATCTTCTCCCTCTAATTTTATTTTTTGCAACAATTTAAACCTTAAGGTTAAATGTTGTTGTTCAAATGTCCACCCAATCAAAAAGCGGACTTTTAACAATTTATTTAATCACCACTTCTAATAACTAACATATTATTATATATATCATCATTAACTAGCCAACTACAACTAACCAATATAAACAATTTAACCCTCTTTAATTGTAACAATCAAATATGTTCATACAACATATTAATAAGAGGCCATTTAAGTATTTGCTAACAAAAACACAACAATCAATTAAATCATCATCTTCATCATAACGATCAACAAAAAAATCAACAAATTAACTAACTAATAATATTAAGATCAATGCTTAAAGGCAATAATAATAATAATATTATTATTATTATTATAACAATTTAATCTGTAACATACATAATATGTTATTTTAAATACTACAATTAACCAATAACCTAATCAATAAACTGATTAAATATATTGGTGAAAACCTGTTAACAAAGGTTGGGTTTAATAGAAGGCTAAATTGTTGTATTTAAAAGACAAATTGATCAAAAATGATTAGTTTAACAGGTTAATTGTTGTATTAAATTGTTTAATTATGTAAAAACAAAAAGCAAAATGATTTAATATTTTGTTGTTGTTTAATATTAGCAAAGGTTAATCTTTAATCACTTATGTTTGTTTTCAGGGTAAAATCATAATTAACATTAAATCCAGTAGTTGGTAAACACACATAGGTAACAATTAGTTAAATTATCATGATTTTTAAAGTAGCTTGAGGTTAATTTAATGATGTTAATTATAATATTTAGTTGATGAGCATAATGGTTTAGGTAATAATCAGTTAATCATTTTTGTTTTTAATGGATCAACGAAATTAAAATCAAACTATAACATGAGATTAATAATAATCTCAATTCATATAAATTGTGTATTGATTATTTTTTAATTAATAACCTTAAACGTCCAACTAATAGTTGGGACTTTAATTGTTAACAATCAAACATCAAAGTCTAAATAATTTGATTGTTTTATTGTTGAATAAAGAAAAATGTCCAAATTGAATTAATAACATTATAATTAGAAGAGGGAAAATAATTGAATCAATTGATGATCAGAATTGATCCAATTGCGTAGGATGAATTATATGTAATTGTAACTTTAATTTGATTATAACAATTTAATTTGTCCTCAATTTAACAAAATTTCTAAATCCGTAATCAAGATAATCTAATAATCATTTAACCCTTGAAAATGTTATTCAGATAATTGTAACTGTCTCAATAATATTTTTGATTGTTTATCATTTCTGATCGACTGTGTAAATTATTACAATTAACTAAATAATAGATAATTTAAGTTAATTGGTCATCATTTATGATTAGATAATTGTTTATCCACGTAAACAACAGTTAAATTGTCACGGTGATTCTTTGAATGACCAATCATGTAGGAGAGATGAAATTAAATGGATTAGAAAACTATTCAATTCTTAATTTGATTGATTTAATAGTGAAAAGTGATTACGATTGATTGATAAGTTACAGGGAGAGAGAGAGAGAGAGGATAAGGATTAGGATTTAGATTGAAAAATAAATCGTCTCTCTCCTTGTATTCAATTGTTGATTCTTGTTTCTTGTGTTTGTTTTGGTTGATGAAGTTAATGATTTTCATTTTTCATGAATCAAACCAGTAATTAGCCTCAAGCTAAAGTGATGGTCATCATCATGATCCCTCTCCCCCCATTCACCTGTAAAAGTATCTAGTTTAGGAATAAGATGAATAAAAGAAGGAAGAAAAATTCAATGAAGAAAAAGATAAAAATATTTTTTTCTCTCTAAAACTCTCGCTTCTAATAACGGAACTTTTTTCATCTTTTATCTTCAATTTTCACCTTTTTCTTAATTCAGTAAAAGTTTATCTCTTTTAACCATCTCTCCATCTATTCTTATCCTCTCTCTCTCTCTCTCAATTGACGAAATGTTTTTATAATCTTATGATGTTTATTTCTAATAGTGTCTTAAGAGTCATTTACTATTCTGACCCATTTGGATTAACAAATCAACAACAGGTAGACATAAACACCCACCGAATTGAGCCAAAAACAACCAACTAAGATTCAAAGGTAAACAAAAAGTAAAGTTTTCTAAGAGATTTGTTGTAAATTCATCATCATGTGTATATAAGTTTCATTCACAATTGTAATGGTCAATTGTCCCTTCTCATTTGGTCAAATACTATTATATTATACATCACACCCAAAGAACAAGAGGAAAAAACTTTCTCTCAACTTGAAAATCTTGAATCAATGTTACCAAAACTTGACCCACTCAGAATATCATCATTATCCTAATCCTAATCATCTCAATCAGCTGATTGTGAAAATATTACTACTGTAAGTAAATGAGTTATAAAAATTTTCTGTTGACCATAAATCACTTTCACCGGTAAAAAAGTGATTAAGGATCAACTGATTGTCCATGTTGATAACTTTTCTCCTATTCTAATTAACAATTTCAAGTGATGTGGAGGACGATGATGAGGATGATACTATTGCTGATAATCACCACCATCATGATGATAAGATAAAAAGATGACATTAAGATGTATAAATAAAAATGACACCAATGATGACCTTTTTTTCTTGATGATGATTATCCTCATCCTCATCTTTTACTCTGTAAAAGATGCACATACCAAATTGATCCACAAATTTGGGTCCTTTTTGTAAGGAAAATTTTACCTTTACTGTTACACTTTAAATCCATTAATTGTGGGTTAGAGTGTAAATCTGATGATAAATTATACTTAAGGGGCAAAGATGTAAAATTAATATCAGAAGCTTCAGATTCTGTATTGGTGAGGCCAAGAGTGAATTCAAAGTGATTAGTTATGTTACAATCTCTCTACTAATCGGACCCTTGGTCTCAATTCAACCCTCAGAAATCAATTAATCAATTAAGAAACAGGAAAAGTACTAGAAGTTGATTGTAAAATGAGAACGTAAAAGAAAAACTTAATCAAAAGGTAATCAAATTACTTAAAATTTAGGAAAGAAAATGAAAAACTTTTTCATCTCATGAATGAACTTTTTTTTCCCATTGGAAAAGTTTTCATCTCATTCATCTGATAAACTTTGATGGATTCGAAAAATATTAATAACAATTGATAACAATTCTCACCTTTGATTGAATTTTAATGATTAAATTAACTGTTTATCCGATTAATTGATTGGAAAATCCTTTGTTTCTTTTCAATGATTGACTAATTAAATAGACTATTGATTCAATCCATATATCACTTTGAATAGAGCAAAAAATTAATAAAGACAATCCGATTTGATGTTTTGGTCACTTTTGTTCACAATTGTCCTTGTTGCACATTAATTGTCCGAAAATGATGATACTAAATGATGAGGATGATGATCAACAATCAACAATAACTAATGTTTATTGATGATTATATTAATAAACACACACACACAATGAAATTAAGGTAAGTTAACTTTCTACTCTTAAGTTACCTTTCTTAATCAACTCTTCCCAAGTAAATAACTAATAACAAACTTGATTCAAAGTCTTTTAAACATCTCACATCATCTCTTTCTCTCTCTCTCTCTTTCTCTCTCTCTTTCTCACAATATTTATCCTCATCATCTCTCTTTTAGCATCTTCATCTTCATCTTCATCTCCCTCATCCTAAATTCAACTTGATTCCTGAAAGTAACCAAACAACCTTAGCAAAAGAAACAGAAACACCAATTGATCAATAATAATACTAAACTATTCCCATTATTATCTATTGATTTAATTGTATCATTTGTGTTATTATTTATTTACTCTCATTTTAATTCATACAATTTATCAATTACTATTATAACAATTAATAAATTTTCTTCTTCTTCTTTTTCTTCCAGACTTAATTGTTGAACAGACAAAGTTAATGGTCTCGATCTCACATGACTTTGTTTCTTATGAGCTTTTGACAATTAATCAATTCTGATAATAATCTTTCTCGAGATAAACAACAATTAAAATTGACTATACTCTTTAATCAACTAATTAAAGGTGATGAGATTTACTGAGAAACACGTTAGTTAACAATTTAATTTAATTTCCATCCTGAAATCATATTCATTTGTAAATTATGATGAAGACAAACAATTAAATGTCAATCAATTGTTGATGATGATCATTAAATAATAGTAACAATTTTCAACTACTAAATGTTAACCACTAGTAATCAAAACTAATCATCATGTGTTGATGATCAGACTGTTAATGATAATGGTGATAATGATTAATAAAGAAACTTAATTTAGTTATTATTTTAAAAGGAGATTCAAATTAACTATAACCAAATCAACAGTGAAACAATTAAATTGTTATATGTATGTTAATAATCATCAATTTGTCTGTAGACACAAATACAAACTGACCTGAAACTTGTTCTTACAATCAATTATATAATTAAATTGTAATTAACAAAAATATAATCTCATCAATAGAAATAGAAAGTCTGATGAACTTTAATTTAGTTAATAAGACCATTAATTAACCTCAACTAATTTAAATCACAATTGATCAGCACATTGATGATTATGTATTGATATTCAAAGGGTAACCCAAATATTTTTCATTCACAAGAAAATGAAAAGTAAAACTTTTACCATTAAATTAGCAAGAAAACAAAAACAAGAAAAAATTTACCAGTTAATTGATTAATTCGTGATTAATAAATTGTTTAGGTTAATTGTTAATCACTTTTCGTTTCCCTCGTCTTATTATTACCAACAGCAAAGAGTAACAATTAACCGTTACCTGTATATGTAATTATATGTATTATAAGGGAAAGGGAAACATGATCAACTTTAATCACGATGATTTAAAACTGATTTGATTAAAGAGGCGAGTAGATCACGTTAATTGTAAGGTTAATCAATTCTGGGAATTGGAGGACAATCAAAATTTTCAATGAAAATGAAACCCTTACAAATCAGTGAATTAATTAGTTAATTATTCTTGGACAATTAACTGTAAACTTTTGTTTTTCTTTATACAATCAAGATCAAGTTTCGTAGTTGAATCTTGTTAATTGTTAATTGTTACTATAAATACTCATCATCATCATAATACATTATTAATTATTTACCAATTTATTATTAATTAAATTCATTTTCATGATAAATTTCACTTTAAATTATCATTATGATATTTTTGATTTACTATTTTCTTATGAGTGATTTAATTAATTGGGATACTAATATGAGTAACAATTTGATTAACTATTAATAACACAATATGATAATAAATATATATTGGATTAATTGTAATTGTATAAACTTAATTGTTGATTAAAGGATATGATTAAGGGCCCAATAGTTTTAACGGTTAAAAATAAACAATTTGATTGGAAAAATTGAATTGAAATTTAAATGGGAGAAAAGTTAATTATTAACAATAATCAACCGATCAGATTAATATGATTACAATCATGTTTACATTTAATCAACAATTAACATGAAACTAAATTGTTGTCACTTGGAAACTTTTACTCTCTCTATTAATACCAAAAAATTATCATTAATTAGCTACTATTACAATTAATTAATCATTGATTTCGATTCAAAAAAGAGAAAGTTTTTACTCTCGAAATTAAATTAGTTTGATTAACAATTAAAGTGAATTATTTTTCCGTAATAATCTTTTATTAACAGTAACTAATTCATCAAATTAAATCATCTCTCTCTCTCTCTCTCTCTCTCTTCCTCATCATCTTATTTTTAACCAACAACAACAATTTAAGTTAATCATAACTTTTATAAAGATAATCAATTAATTATATCAAACATTTAGTTACATACAAGTTAATTGTTGAAGTTACTTTTGCTTTCCCTTCATTCAAATGTTAACACAAAGTGACAAATCAAATCTATTAATACAGTTAATTCAGTTAAGGATTAACCAAATTTGAATAAATAATGATAATAATTAAATTGATTATTAAGATGATTAGTTGAAATTATTTAAATCCAATAATATAAAACTGAATTGATTGTTGATTGAAAGTGAAATTGAAAAACTTTTTCCCAACTTTGTTCATTTCGGATTATCAATAAACAAACATTTATTTTCATCATTAAATTGTTATAATTTGAAGCTATTAAAACTTGATTAAGATGAAGATGAGGATAAGGATTAAGAGGAAGATCATAAAAGGGATTAAATGACTGACAATTATGCAAATCAATATGGAAGTGAATAGATTTAGTAATCTGATACTTTTTCGTCTCATCAATTGTTCATTCCAATCAATTGTTCAATTTGTGACATAATTAACATTATCAGGTTACCTTTAACCCTTTTAGAGTCTCAGATGATAATCATGATAATGAAGATTAGGATAATAATCGTATTCAGATTATGATGAAGCCTACTTTCTCTTCATCATCATCATCATCATCACTCTCTCATGGTGGAAAGTAAAAATATCCAGGTAATAGAGAGGATTACTCTCTCTCTCTCTCTTCCGATAATCATCTTCATCTCCATCCTCATCATTTTCATCCGTAACTTCATCATCACCCAAACTCATTTGCATAAACTATTATAATCAACTGATTAATCTTTATGAGTCTCTACCAATTGTTTAAATTTACTCAAAATTATCAAATCGTGTTCTCATCATCATTAACTATTACAATTTGATTGAAAGGAACATCATCTTCACATTGAGCCAATACAACGTGTATGTATTTAGGATACAAAAAGAAAAGAGGAAAAACAAAATTCAAGCTATTTTTATGGTCATCTCCTGGCAATTGGTCAATTCTTCATCATCATCATCATCATCATCATCATCATCAACATCAACATCACAATATACATAACAATTAACATAATCAACAATCAAATGATCAACCACAATCAAGTTCAAAGCCCATTAAACATTCACACGAAATTTAAAACTTTAACCAAAATTTTCAATTGTTGATTATTATCATTACTAAATCATAATCAACTAATTATCAACGTGTTAAAATCACGCATCTAATTATTATTTTAACCTCTAACTGTTGTTATAATTATTTATGTTATTTTTACAACAGTTACATACATAATTTATGTATCGATCATCATCAATGACCAGTGGTCACTCATCAATTATTTCAATGCCTGAATCTTGATTTTTATTATCATATATTATTTTATACTAACAAGTTAATGGTAATATTATTTTTCAATGAACACAATCAAAGTTTAAAATTGCCCAACAATCAAATTAAAACTACAATCATTTGATGAGATCATGATGTTTGATTGTTGATGATAAATGAAAAAGGGCAAAGATAATCACGATTAATTATTATTATTATGATTATGTTTGGGTTAATCAAACAGATGATCAGATGTTGAAACAATTGATTGTTGTTAAAGGGCATCATCATCATTACCCTTAGACTTAATCAGTTGATCAATTGTAGTAGTTAACACAATTAGACCGCCCGGGATAAATTTTACAATCAACTTATTAACGCAATCAAATTGTAATCATCATTAACGATTATATGTAAACACTGGTAGCTTTTAGTACTACCTGGAAAAAAAATGAATTGTTGATTTAGTTTTGAAAAGATGATCAATGATCAAAGTTAATTGTAATTAGTTGACTCGATTTAAAGATTGATTCATTTGATGAAAGATGATGATGATTAAATGCTGATGATGAAAGATGATAATCAAATTAAAATCAAACAATCTAATCAGATCAATGACATGGTTTCAAATCAAATCAATCGTAATAATTTTCATCTCTCTCTCTCTCTCTTTAACAATTAAACTAAATTTTTAATTGCTCATCGCAGACAAACAACAATTAACTGGCTATGATTAGCATTTTTAGTAAATGAAAAATATTTAATTGTGATACTTTAAATACGGGCTGCCAATTAGTTGATTTGCCTCAAACTGATCATCATGGTTGTCAGTTGATTGTTGATTAGTTTAATTGTTTATCATATTGACATTTAATGATAAACTATTAATATTTAGTAAATTGTTTGATTAAACTTGAAAATAATACAATCAAATTATATATTAACACCAATCAAAGTTGATTGTTGTTATTTTGATTACAATTATCATCACTATTATGATTTCAACTTGATTGTTTAGTAAATTGTTTGTTGTTTAAGTTTAACACTTTTAGTTACTTTTTGGTTAATCTAATTGTCAAGATTGATAATCAAGATAATTTGATTTTTCTCTTATCAAATTGTGTGGTCAGTAAAGTTAATTGTTAATTAGCATGATAACAATTTAGATACAATCACAATACAGAGAGAAATCAAGTTCACGTTTTTTTCGAGAAAAAAAAAGTTCTAAAGTTTTTTTTGGAAAACTTTTTTTTCTTCTTGATTGTTGAGAAGAAAAAAAAAGTTCTGAACTTGATTAACAACAACAATTACAATTTCGTTATCATTATTATGATGATTATATAATTATTCGTGTTAACGTGATCAACACTGTTTATATTTAAAATTGAATCACAAATCACGTACCAAGTTAATTTAAATTAACCAAAATTCAGATAGTAACAATTATTTCAACGATGGACAAGAGTGACAACAAGATAATGATAACACAATCAAATTAAATTAATAAACTAACAATTAACTTAAACCACAAAAGAAAGTATTTCATTTCTTGTTGATAAAATCTCTCAAACAACTACTGGATTAACAATCTAATTAACCAACAAGTTGTTTAAACAATTTAGCCATATGATTTAAAGACTCACAAAGATCTGATCAAAAATTGTTCTGATACTGATGACAACAATTAAGATTGCTCGTTGAAATGAATTGCGATGATTAATTGTTTGTTCATCATGATTAAACTTTGATTGTTGGTTAATCAGAATCCGGGTTTACAATTGTAAACAAAAAGGTATCGGCAGCAATTAAATGTTACAAAATGATCAGCACGATTATATAATATTAACTGTTTACGATACATTATGATTATATTGATAGTTAGAGTTAATTGTAATCAACACGATTAATATGATAATAATTGAATTTCTATTTCTAAATAGTGAATCATTTTTAATTGTAATTGTTTTCGTTGTATTAGTAAATATCAAAGTATTTAGGTGATTTAACTTTTCCTTAATTAACGTTCTCATTTGATTATCAGGTCAGGTTGAGACACCAATTAAATTATATATTTCAAACTAACAAATTCAGTGGTGAAGATAATTATAATTGTTGTTGAATGAATTTCAATATCAAGATCATGTTAATCATCATCATCATCATCTTAATTATGATTATGGTTATGGAAATGTTTACAATTGGGCTCATCATCATCCTAATTGTTTGCGTTTAGCAAAAACAAAATTAACAAAACTTTGTTAACTGGGTGAAAGTTTAAATTATCAACAATTTGAGAATCTTAATTAATCAGAATTAAAATTGATGTTGATGATTCTGATTCTCATTCTGATTGTTGATTATTATCATTATTATTATTTCCCGTGGGTGGTCAATGAAAAACAAACCACAATCATGAGCAATTAACAATTTGATTAGTATCATCAGATTGTTGTTGATGATTCTATGATGATAATTTCATTCCTAATTAACTAATCATTTTTAAATTTCTCAAATTCATTTTAAACAACAAACTTGGTTACATATTAATATTAAACTTGAACTCCTTAACTTTTTCAAGCTTCAAGACAATTAACTATTGATGATGAAATTAATTACAATCAAAAAATGATCCAAATTCTAGATGAACATTATAATATTGTGTTAATAATAATCATTGATAATTGTCTTTAATTGTGTATGCAATGTGAATATTAATTGTATGACCACAATTAATAATATCAAAATCTACCACAAACCATAAGCTAAAGATGAATTGATTAACTCAATTTAGATAATTAAATTGATGTACACACAAACTGTATGTAAATTAACTGA